GCTTAGAGTCGCTTTAGGGTTGGCTTAGTCGCTTTAGGTTTGGTTTGGGGTTGGCTTAGGGTTGGTGTAGGGTGGTTAAGTTTGGTTTAGGGTTAGTGAAGGTCCGTTTAGGGTTGGCTTACGCCTAGTTTCAGGGTTGGCTTAGAGTCGCTTTAGGGTCGGTTTGTGGGTTGGTTTAGGGCTTGTGTAGGGTTTTGAAGGCTTGGTTCAGGGTCGAGGGTCCGTTTCCGATTGGTTTATGATGGCTTTGACTGTCTTAGGGTTGGATTAGGGCTAGTTTAGGGTCGGTTTAGGGTCGGTTTAGGGTCGGTTTAGGGTCGGTTTAGGGTCGGCTGACGGTTGGTTTAGGGGGTTAGCTTAGGATCGTTGTAGGGCCAGTTTAGGGTTGGCTTGCGGCTGGATTAGGGTTGGCGTTTTGGGTGCTTTAGAGTTGGTTTAGGGTCGGTTTAGGGTTGGTTTCTGCAGAGCTGGAAATGACTTTCTAGGGGCCAGGTTGGGACTCGGGGTTGGGAGACTGCCATGCAAAGCAACTCAAATTTATCCGACTCGCAAGAGCAGAAAAAATATCCTCTTCCCCTCTTCCTTATATAAGACCATGAACAACAGGACACAGCGATGCCCGCAACACACAAACGCGAACTCAAGCATCCAAACCGTGCTGCCAAAAATCTTTCCATAAATGGTATTCCATGTATGTCTTCTGCAAACCCACCACACACACACCAGAAAAAAAAAAGTACAAGAAACAAACAAGTCCCAACAAAATAAGCTGGAACAAACAACAAACAAAAAAACAAACAAACAAACACGCAAGCAAACAAGCAAGCAAGCAAGCAAACAACAAACAAACAAACAAGCAAACAAACAAACAAACACGCAAACAAACAAACAAACAAACAAACAAACAAACAAACAAACAAACAAACACAACAAAACAACAAAACAACAAAGAAAGAAAGAAAGAAAGAAAGAAAAAAAGAAAGAAAGAAAGAAAGAAAGAAAGAAATAAAGAAAGAGACAAACAAAAAGACAGACAGACAGACACAGACACAGACAAACAGTGTTATATGCTCTTGCAAGCCTTGTTATCGAGTCTAAAAATATTGCAACATCCTTTTTTTGCTCAACCAGTCTTTTTGCTCTTTCTATTACTAAATCTGCAAGTTGAACGTGTCTTGATGCTGGTTCGTCAAATGTTGAGCTAATAACTTCACCTTTGACCATTTTTTTTATATCAGTTACCTCTTCAGGTCTTTCCCCTATTAAAAGTACAATCACAAAATTTCAGGGTGATTTTCCGCAATAGCATGAACTAAGTTTTTCATTAATATAGTTCTTCCACTTCTAGGAGGGGCTACTATTCAGCTTCTTTGGCCTTTTCCTCGAGGTGCTATTATATCTATTAATCTGCAACTTAAGTTAGTTTTTCCCTGCCCAGGAAGTTCAAGATTCATTTTTTCTTGAGGGAATATGGGAACAAGGCTATCGAAGTAAACTCTCTTCAATGAAGAATGATATGTTTTAAAGGTTATGTTTTCCACTTTCAATAAAGCAAAATATGTTTCACCTCCTCCATTTTTAGGTGATCTTATCTCTCCAGATACATGATCTCCAGTTTTTAAGCCAAATTTTCTTATTTGGTTAGGCGATACGTAAATATCATCTGGTCCTGAAGTGTAGTTAGTAGCTTTTGATCGAAGAAAACCAAAACCTTCAGGTAAGATTTCTAATACTCCTTCTTCCACTAATTTTTTCCAGAGCTTATTAGGCCTTTTATACATTAGATACTATTTCTTGTATGGGTATGTTATATACGTTTTGAATTCCTATCTTTTCAGCTAATTCTTCAATTTGTTCTTGAGATATTTTTTTAATATGTTTTATTTGAACAGGAGCGTCACCAAAAATTGTTATTGCCTCTTCTTTGTCAATAGTGTAATTAAAATGATTGTACTTAACACTATTATCCTGCGATTTATTCTTAACTTTTGCAACTTTTTCTATTGTATTGGTAGTATTTTGTCTGTCTTCAGAATTTGTAATCATGTTTGTTTAAAGATTAAAGAGCTATTTACTTGATTTTTGATGGAACAATACATACATATTCACCTTGTTTCAGTAAGAATGTATCTATTAAAAAAGTTTTCTAATTAAAATAATTACTGGCTTATATATTAATTAAACTTCCTTGCTTTTGTTAGATGTGTTTGTGCTTATGGATTATGATAACAAGAGAAAACAAAATAGAAACTATATTGGATAAATGTGTGAGCTGCGCTACTTATATGTTGTTTGCAAAGCCTGTTATATTTAGTATGTAGCTTTACAAAGAGATGATATTATCAAATGAGCGGTGATCAAAATCAATAGGCCAAATTGCGATGATATCATTTGGCGCTTCCGCGTGCTTCCGCGCGCTTCCGCGCTGCGGGTGTTTGCTTCCGCGCTCTCATTTCCCTTCCGCGCCTTCCGCGGCTTGCGTCTCTTTCTTGCCAAGCCAACACAACTAGATATTGAGCTTGTTTTCCACCACCCGCCGTTTCTTTCGCGAAAAGCGTTGCCAACAGGATCACTGCAGCGCCAATATTGATTCACGCGGCCTGGCAAATAGTTTTTGCTGTCCTTGAGCGGCTGCAGCTTGACGGGGTTTGAACCTTCACTTGTTGCCTCGTATCCTGCAAAGTCCGGGTGCTCTACCAAGTCACTACGTCGTTCTGTGAAACAAGGGCGCCTGGCTAGAAGAAGTGCTTTCTGACCACCACCCAAAAAGGGCCCGACCACACCCAGAAAATTTAAACTGTAGCCTGGTGGCGTAAACCTTCGTGGGAAAAATCTGCGGGCGCGTGAAAAAGGCCAGCACCACAGTCAAGCGAGCATGGCATGGCAAAGGGCTTGAAAGGCACAACTGCCACAAGGACCAATTGAAAGGCAGCCAACCAACGCCCAAAAAGCCGTGAAGGGTAAGCCCCGCACCAAAGCTTTCCCCTTGTGCTTGGAGCTGCTCCCGCAACAGCATGGTAGTGGGTGGAAGACCAAAGGGGGCAAGGCAGAGGGAACTGTAAGAACAAAAGCCAAAGAGGCGTGAAGCGGCAAACTCGACGCTGACGCTATCTTTTCACCCCGGGCTTGTCTGGCTCCCCCGCCATTTCAGCATCCCCTGCTCCCCGAAGCGAGCTCTTTCAGCTCAGGGAGGAGTTCACCCAAGTGACGGACAAGCATCAATCACCAAGCATTTTAGGCCCGGGAAGCAAAAACGATTTGTTCGGCCCGAACAAATCGTTTTTAGGCCCGGGAGCAAAAACAATTTGTTCGTTTTTAGGCCCGGGAGCAAAAACAATTTGTTCGGCCCGAACAAATCGTTTTTAGGCCCGGGAGCAAAAACAATTTGTTCGGCCCGAACAAATCGTTTTTAGGCCCCGGAGCAAAAACGATTTGTTCGGCCCGAACAAATCGGGAGTTTTTAGGCCCGGGAGCAAAAACGATTTGTTCGCCCGAACAAATCGTTTTTAGGCCCGGGAGCAAAAACAATTTGTTCGGCCCGAACAAACCGTTTTTAGGCCCGGGAGCAAAAACAATTTGTTCGGCCCGAACAAATCGTTTTTAGGCCCGGGAGCAAAAACAATTTGTTCGGCCCGAACAAATCGTTTTTAGGCCCGGGAGCAAAAACGATTTGTTCGGCCCGGACAAATCGTTTTTAGGCCCGGGAGCAAAAACGATTTGTTCGCCCGAACAAATCGTTTTTAGGCCCGGGAGCAAAAACAATTTGTTCGGCCCGAACAAACCGTTTTTAGGCCCGGGAGCAAAAACAATTTGTTCGGCCCGAACAAATCGTTTTTAGGCCCGGGAGCAAAAACAATTTGTTCGGCCCGAACAAGTCGTTTTTATGGGAGCAAAAACCACTTCGGCTCAACTGAAAAGGAAATGTTGGCCCAGCCGGCCATCTTGGAAGAAGCTTCCGTGGCGACTTGGGAAAACAATTTGACCTGCCCCATGGAAGACAAAGCTGAGAGGCTCGAAACTTGCCGGTGACGGCCAAAACAGCTTAAGTGGCCCGAACCTAGGCCCCGGGAGCAAAAACAATTTGTTTGATATTTCTACACCTTTTGACGCTCCAAAAATGTTCCCCTTCCGCGTCCTTCCGCTGCGCAAATTTCGTAGTCAACTTCCGCCGGCCCTTCCGCAAGCTTCCGCGGCCTGCGGAAAACCTTCCGCGCGGATTGATTTCAGCGCTCCCTTACTTAAATTGCTTTGAGCATTTTTGATCGCTGCTCAAATGACATTTTTAGCAAGCTCATATTCAGTCAATTTGATATATGACAAACATTTGTTTAAAACATTTTTGTATAATTGAGTAATTGATATATATATATATATATTATCTGTGTATTACAAAACAATATTTCTTATAATAATGGTTTACCAATTTTATGACGCATGTTGTTACTGATGCTTGTGTGAAATGTAAGTATACAAGTTGTGTTCCTGTTTGTCCTGAAGATTGTTTTTATGAGCATGATCTTATGGTTGCTATAGATCCAGATGTTTGTATAGATTGTGGTGTGTGTTGGTGAATGTCCTATTGGAGCTATTGAGCCTGAATCTAAACATAACATAGAGTTTGTACAAGAGGCCAGAATAAATGTTAAAACTTGGCCAAAAATTCTTAATGAAAAACCCGCATTGCCCCAGGCCGATAAATACAAAAATGAAAAGCGCAAATATCAAAAATATATTAAGGGGAATATATCAGATTTGTGATAAATATGTAAAATAATTAGAAATTTATATAATCTAAAAATTTTACTTGGAATAGATACATATTCCATATTTAGAGTTATGAATAATATTTTTATGACAACAGAAGAAACACAAGAAACCGATCATTATTCTCTACCATATGTTGAGGCAAGAAAAATATATCAACATTGGAAACAAAATCCTTCTAATGATGGCATTTGTAGATTTGAATCTGGATATTCTCCTTCTGGAACACCTCATTTAGGTACTTTTTCTGAATGTAAGAGAATAAATTATGTGAAGAACACCTTTTCCAATGTATATAATATTCCTACTGAACTTATATGTGTTTCAGATGATTTGGACCCCTTAAGATCTGTTCCAAGCAATTTGCCAAAACAGGATATGTTATTCGAATATTTATCTTACCCTATATGTTCTATTCCAGATCCAGATCCATTTGGTGTATGCCAAAATTTGGCGGAGTATATGAATCAATTATTTGTGATTTTTTTTAAATAAATTTAATATAAAGCATACTTGTTTTGGTTCTGCTCAGTGCTATAGATCTGGTATGTTTGATGAATATTTGATAAAAGTGTTAAACAAATACGATGAAGTAATGAGTATAATGCTTCCATCTTTAGGTGAGGAGAGGCAAAAAACTTATTCTCCATGTTTACCTATTTGTCCAAATACTGGCAAAATTTTACAAGTTGCTATGGTAGATAGATCATTAAGTGATTCAACTATATCTTATATAGACCCTATTTCATCTAAATTGCAGACCATAAAAGTTACAGGTGGAGCTTGTAAATTGCAATGGAAGCCAGATTTTGCTATGCGGTGGGCAGCTTTAGATATAAAGTATGAAATTTATGGAAAAGATCATTTATCAAACGCAAAAATATATGATCAAATTTGTAAAATATTAGAAAAAGAACCTCCAATTCAATTTTTTCGAGTTGTTTTTAGATGAGAATGGTAGAAAAATATCAAAATCAAAGGGTAATTCAGTTGCCTTTGAAGATCTAATGAAATATTTTCCTCAAGAGGCAATAGAGCTATTTGTCTATTCTAATCCCAAAAAAGCTAAAAAAATGTCTTTTGACGTAATGGTCAAAAATACGGACGATTATATAAGAATGCATAATGAATTTAACAAATTAAGTAAAATTGAGAAAATTAACAGTGCATTGTATCATATACACAACTCTAAAGTACCTAATCTTTATTTTGGTGAAATAACTTTTCCTATGCTGATATATCTTTCTAGTATTTTTAACAATCCAGATCTTAATTTAATCAAAAAAATCATAGAAAAATTTGATAAAAAATAGATTTAACTAATGGGTCTTATTTTGAAAAATTAATTAATTGTGCATCATCTTACGCCAAAGAATTTATTATCCCGAAAAAATGTTTTACCTGCGTCAAAGCTACAAAAAGAAACATTATCACACATATTGAATTTTATTAGCTCTGAAGAAACTATGACAAATGAAAAGATACAAGGACATATATACTCACTCGCCATGAAATATGCAAGTGATGATATGAAAAAACAATTTAAAGGGTTATATCAGGTTTTGATAGGATTTGATGGTGGCCCAAGGCTTGGAACATTTTTTGCTATTTTGGGAAAAACAAAGTCCATAGAAGTAATAAATAGCATAATCAATAAAGATGATTAATATTAAATTATTAAAAAAACAAAATAGATAAAATCTGCAGATGAAAATTAGTAAATCTGAATTATATCAAAAATAAATATCATGTTATTAAAAAATCGTCTGGATATATGTCAATACATAAAGATAATGGTAACAATACTCTAGTTAAAGTGGAAGATACCCCTAATCAGTTTGCATTTTTTTTAGTAGGACGATTAGTGAGCCCAACTTCTATTGAAACTTTTTACTCTTCCAAAGACTGCAAAACCAGTATAATACATACATACATACATACATACATACATACATACATACATACATACATACATACATACATACATACATACAGACAGACAGACAGACAGACAGACAGACAGACAGACAGACAGACAGACAGACAGACAGACAGACAGACAGACAGACAGACAGACAGACAGACAGACAGACAGACAGACAACCATAACATAACATAACATAACAAACAAACAACCAAACAAAACCATCAAACAATCATTCAAACAAACAAACAAACAGACAGACAAACAAATAAACATATCGTAACATAAGATGATATATAATAAACAAACATAACAAACATACAAGTAAGCAAGCAAGCAAGCAAGCAAGCAAGCAAACAAACAAACACACAAACACACAAACACACGAGCACACGAACACACACACACAAACAAACAAACAAACAAGCAAGCAAGCAAACAAACAAACAAACAAACAAACCAACACACAAACGCAGAACCACACAAAAACAAACAAACAAACAAACAAACAAACAGACAAACAAACCAACCAACCAACCAACCAACTAACATAACGAACATAACACAAAACACATAACAAACAAAGATACCAAACAAACATGGCATACATAACAAACAAACATAACAACCAAACGTAACCCAACACACATAACAAACACACATAACAACAAACGTACCATAGCATAACAAACCAACCAACATAACATAACATAACACAACACAACATAACATAACATAACATAACAAACTCAAGCAAACAACGCCAACTCCGAGTTTCAAACAAAGCCCCGCCTTGGCGGGTGGCGGGGAGGGCTTGGGCGCGATCCGCGGCGCCGAGCACAGCGAGAAGAAGCCCCGCAGCGAGGGAGAAGAAGCCTCGCAGAAACCCCACAGATGGACATGGGACCCAATTCACCACAATTATAGGCCAACTTACCTGGATCTGGGGAATCAGACCACTTTTGGAGGGGAACACCCTAGCAACTGGAACTGGATGAGTCATATGGCTGTGGCTCAAAGAAAATGGAATTCCCAAAATGGCCCCTTGACTAATGGAAACAAAGACCAAAACCTGCATAACGCAAAGACTTCCTAGTTTTGAGCCACACCCAGAGGAAACTCCTTCTCATCAAAACGAGCCGCTTTTGGGGTCCCATGTGAATCTGGGGAGAATGGGGCTCTGTCTTGTTTTCAGACACAGAAACTAGGGTTTGCAAGGGAAAAGCAACGTGAGGGAGTTTTGACACTCATATACATATACACATAGTTGAAAAGGATGAACATGACTTGGAGGGTGTCAGCGTGGTTCTCTTTCTTTTGTTCCTTCTTCTTGGGGCGGGAGGGGGGGTGGGGTGGGCGTGGGGACCAAGTCAAGAACAATATCAGTGTGTTTTGAGAGTTTGATGGGCATAACCATGGCAGTTCCGAATGCTAAACTTGCCATTCATCCATGGGTTGTTCGATTCCCATTTTCTGTTACCACCATTTTCTTAGAAACCACCCATCTTCCCCAGGCATTTGCCGCATTTGGCTGTGTCGTTTTTGCCCATTTGGGCGTATCGTTGTTGAGAGGACCCCAAAAATGGGGCAACGGTTCTCCTGTTGGCTTCCCTCTAATACCCAAAAACACAAGTTTTCCGGTGATTTCCCTTCAAAACCTAAAAAAAAAAAAAAAAAAAACGGTTCTCCTGTTGGTGTCCCTTCAACCCCCCCCCAAAAAAAAGAGAAAAACATATATATATAAAAAACAAAACAAAAAACAAAACCTTAAACAACAAAACAAAAAACCAACCCCAAAAAAAAACAAAACACGAGGCCGCCCCCCCCAAAAAGAGAAAGACCTCGGCCGCACCCGCGCCTCCGGCTTCGTGGGCAGGCCCTTGAAGTGCAAGGACTCCGCAGGCCGACTGGACCTCGGCTCTCGGAAGCCGACTGGACTTTGAGCCCGAAGACCTGCTCCGCAAACTTCCATTTGAGTCACGTGCTCAAAACCCTTTGTAAAATGGTGGATTTGAGTCGCTTGACTCAAAACCCTTAACTAAAATGGTGGATCGATTTCCAGAATGCTTCAAGAAGTAAGCCGGAAGTGCGCCTTTCTATTTCTGGCTGGGACCCTTCTACCCAGGTTTTGAGCACCGTGGCTCAACTGTAAACCGCCTGCCCCTTGCTTTCGCCTGGCGGCTGCTTGGAGTTCTTGGGTCCAAGACTTCCAGTGGCTTCTTCACCCGCTGCAAAAAAAATGAGAAAATCTGTCCGGCGGTGAAATCGATTCCCTGGAAAACCAACAGGGGGAAAACGAAGCGTATTCATTTCAGCAACTGGCAGTAAGCCAAAGCGAGCTTCTAGGACCCTACCGACGAACGTGCAAGTGCACAGACTTACCGAAGAACGTGCAAGTGCACAGACCCCGGTAGAAAACAAGAAGAACAAGAAGCGTTCCTCTTGGAGAGGGGGCTTTGTGCAATTCCATGTTGGTTGGTGGTAGGGAAACTGGCGTTTAAAGGTTTTGTTTGGCAATAGAACCCATGAAGGCACCACGAAAAAAATGCCAACACCGGCGCGCTCTTTTCTTTTGAGACGCAAAGCAGGGGCTCAAATAGACAGGTTGCAGGGGTTGACTTAGAAAGGGATTTGATTTCCTGCCATGAGCTTTGGAGGTGCCACTTCAAAGCCATGCAGGTGTGACTTCTTGTCGGTCCCTTTTGTTTGATTCATGTCGTTCTGTGATTGGGGCCGAAGGCGTGCTTTTTGGCTTGGTTGACAATAGATGGCGATTTATTTCACCTGGTGGTCACCACGACCCTAATCCGAAACGCTCGGCCAATTCAGCCCGGGGTCGAATCAACGCCCGCCATACAAAAGATAAGTTTTGAAACGCAGACCAAATTGCTCCAATCATGGGCGTCCTTTTCACAATTGCTTGGAACTTTTGGTATCGCCCTCGGCTTTAGTCCGTGCCCTTGGCCGGTTTCAAGGAGACCCCGGATGTGCAACGGCCGAAGGAACTTACTCTCCGGGATTTTTCTCGAACCCGTCTGAAAGCTGAGGAGAATCAATGAGCTTCGCGCCTTCCCACCCCCAACGCTTTCAGGGAAAAGAACGGGTCCACCACGCAAAACACACGAATTCGGTGGGCGACAGCAGGGCCCCAATTTAGGGACTTTGAGTTTCTTGGGCTTTGGAGCACATCCCGCCAGCTCTCGCTTGGAGCCAACCTCTTACCCCAAACTCACCAGTGTCCACTCGCATCGTGTCTGCACCCTACACCTACCCACTTTGCTAGGGGCATGATATGAAACAAAGGTAGCAACTCCAAAAACGGACCTTGAATGCTATTGGCTGAAGCCTGCAACTTTTGGGAAATGAGAAGTTAAGCCATCAAGGGACAGCCACTGCCACCAATTTAGGTGGAGATCTATGTGCATGAACCTTTAGATTCATAGCCATGCTCTTGGGACATGCAGTGATTCGGCTCAATTCTCACTACATGTTATTCATGCAAAACCCCAAGGGCTCCCATTCCCAAAAGCAGCTTCCTGCTTCTGGCGGGTGTTGGGGTTCCTTCCCTTCAGCTGCGAGCATGTGAACGACAAATGTCCCCAACTCGGACAGCCGTTGGGCCATGGGACAAAATCCAAATCGTACCCCCAGTGAACATCCCAGTCCTCACTAAAATCCCGACTAAAATGGGTGGTGAATTCAACTACCCCAAAATGGGATCCCATGGGTTTTGACCCACAGCCGTTTGACTAAGAACCAAGGGACAATGGAATAGACTGTGTTTTGTCAGCTGGGACTTGAAAGTCTGGCCCTTGCAAACCCCCTCCTTTAACCACCAAACCACCAATTCCAAGGCGCAGGGAACTCTTCTGGCAGAGCACCGGGAAGTCCAGCAGCAGCACGACCAGCAGGTGCCCCAGCTGCCCGCCCGCCCGGCCTAACGAACTGCCACAAGATCTGATCTCGCCCCAAACGTCCGGAGGCAAAAAAAAGGCGCTGGTGTTTGAACAACTGCTGGTGAAGAAAGTTCACTGTTGGGTGGTGTTTAAACACCTTCATGTTGTGGATTGTCCCCTTTCGGGTGGTGTCGAAAATATTCGAGCAACAAAATATGTCTTAAATATGTCCTTTGGTGGTTCACATCGCCCCAACAAACCCTTGTTTGGCGGATTGCGCTCGTTTTGGGCACCAAAGTGTCTGAGATCAAGGAAACCTCCCGCGGCCGAAAGCACTAACATTCGGCTTGGAGTTCAACCAAGCGAAAATGCGCAAAAAAAGGGGTGGGCTTCTTGAAGATCCGGCCACTTGAATCCAACCCAAGAGCCGAAAGCGCGCAAAGGAAGCTTCACTTTTGCCAAGATCTGGCAACTTCAAAATCTGCGAAAGGAAACCATTCCTTGGAAGGTCGCCGTGAGTGCCGAGAGCGTCAATCTGCGAGGCCTTTGCTCCGCTATGTGGCTGTGGTTGTCAAAACCCATGGGATCCCATGTTGGGGTAGGTGAATGCACCACCCATTTAGTCGGGATTTTACTGGTTGGATTGGGATGTTCACTGGGGGTACGATTTGGATTTTGACCCATGGCCATGTGTTTGCTTTGCTACGCCTTTCTTCTGCAAGGCCTTTGCTTGGCTATGCCTTCGCTTGGTGCTTCGCTGCTTCGCTGCCTACCTGGCTCTGAGCTTGCTCGGCCGTCTCTTCAGTTGGCAGTTGCTTGGCTATCTCTTTACTTTGTCACTTCTTGGCTTGTCTGGTTTGAGAAGTCCGCAACTCGGAAGTTTCTCATCCAAACTGTTTTGCCCATTATGATAGTTTTGGTTTCAAAGCGCCGCGCAAGCCCATGCTGATTATGAAGCGGCCCTCAAAAAGGTGGACTCGCGGCCAAAGCCAAAACGACCTCCGCCCCTTTTCTGCTGGGGGCGGGGTGGAGAAGCCAGAAAGGAACTCACTTTGACTTGGCCCCAATGAGATGGTTGTCACCAAACCACGGCACGGGCCCAACCAAAAGAAAACTGGGTTGCTCTTTCGGTCCATCTGCCTTTTTCAACCCAAAAGCTCCCAAATTGCAAATTTGAAGGCTCACCCCCCCCCCCCTCCCCCGCCCCTTTTTCAACCCAAAAGCTCCCAAGGGGCGCCCCAGAGAAGGTCACCCGGTCACCCCTGCCTGACTTCAGGGCGCCCCGTAGCAGGATGCCAGCCAGCCTACCGTGACTCTCATCCCGATGCGCTCCCCGACCGACTGAGTGGAACCAAAAAAGCCGAGCGAAGCGGCCGAGGTTCTTTGGAAGAAACCGAGCTGGGCTGCCCTCAGATCCCCTGCTAAAAGCTTAACCTTTAGTGGGTTGCATAGAAATCCCCACTAAACAATAAAAAGCTAAAAGGCTAAGGGGATGGCTGGGAGCCACGAAGCAACCTCCATTTTCGTTGCGAAGGGCAAGTTCCATGCTTGCCCGCCTGCAAGGGCTTTTACACCTGGAATATAAACATCCATCGATTTGGGTCTTACTGGTTAACCCGATCATGCATTTGCAAATACGTCCCCTGGAAAAAAAAGTCCACTAGTCATAGATTCCCATGAAAAACACATAGGGGAACTTCCTTACGCCAATGGAAGCCAACTAGATCTCATCTCGCCCAAATTGGTGGCTGGTTTGGCGGTTTGGTGGTTGGTGGTTTCGGCCCTGCTCAATCGCCAGGTTTTGGAGGACCATAAACCAAAAGGCACCATGGAGGTCGAACCCCAAAACATCCGTTGCCAGCGATGCACCGAGCCCGCCGTTCCTGTGGTTTTGGCCCAACCGAATAGAACGGAGTTGCTAAAATACGAACACCGTGGTCCCTTCATGAGGATCCTTCACCTCGGTCTGAGGGGTTCGAATAGTTTCCTCTAAAACCATGTTGGAAGATGAGGATGGAGTGGATGGCACAAAACAAGTCCAAGCCTTTTGGTTGCCATGGACTCAGTTCCTGAGTGGATGGCACAAAACAAGTCCAAGCCTTTTGGTTGCCGCCAACATGGTCCAACCCCAAAAAGTCTAAAGTCCATGAACTCAGGAAGTGAGTGGAGGGGGTGCGGGGTGCGCTTTCAACCACCGCTGTTTCTTTCACTTTGCCAAGGCAACTCAGGCGAGGGCTCAAAAACCCTGCTTGGGCTTCCCATGTTGCATCCAACTCACTTCCGAACGAGTGGACTGGTCAACAAAACCTCTCCACCTGGACCCTCGAACCACCAGTCCAAAAAATTGGACATCACCCCGTAATTTTGGAGCAGTTACCCATGCTGAGGGAATTGTGAGGGTCCAGGCAAGTTTTTTGCTTGCCACCAAAAGTGGTCTACCTAAAAAGTGACTCATTTCCGACACGCGCGACGCCAGTAAATATCACCCCAGAGCAAAGCCATCCCCAATGCGATGTGCGGAAAACTTAGGAAAGGGGGAAAGGGACGGTCAAAGGAACCGAAGCGGACCCCCAAACCAACAAATGGTCGGTGTCCTTCTGGCTTCCCTTTAAAACCAACTAAAAAGAGGTCCCCCCCCAAAAAAAAGAAGATAAAAAGACACAGCTAAATGCTGGGCTGTCAGGCAATCCTCTTAGCCCTCACCTTGGGTTAAGGCGTCGCCCCCTTTTCCACGTAGGGATGGAGCATTGGCTTCCGTTTCGAACAGCCCCCAGCCAGCCTAAGTGGTAGCCCGGATGGGAGGCGTGGGTTTCCCCTTGACCCGCAAGAACCGCCCAAATGCTTCCGGCAATGCTGTCCCGATGGAAAATTTGCAGGTTAGGGGGACGCCTTCCCTCAGTTTGCCAGAACAAGTCCAAAACAGGTCCAAAACGGGTCCAAAATGGTCCACAATGGTCCAAAACAGGTCGAAAATGGTCCAAAACAGGTCCAAAATGGTCCGTGAACTCAGGGACCCCCAGTCTTCATTACAATTACCCAGAGGCTCTTGGCTTTCAATCCCTCCATTAGACACCCCGCTTCGGCGTTTCGGGGTCTCAAAACCCGGCTCTTTGAGGGCCCATGCATTCATCGAATTGGAGCGTCTGGGTTTAAACCAAAAAAAAACAAGAAACTCCCAAAGCCAATAGGTTCAAAAATGGTCCAAAATGGTCCAAAATGGTCCATGAGCTTCAAGGAGTGAGCTCCCATCTTCATTTAAAAAAAAGAAGCTCCAAAAGCCAATCGGCTCTCAAAATGGTCGCCGAGCAGCTCCAGGTAGGCCGCCCAGAGCCGCAGCGCGGCGCCGCCCTGCGGCTTGCCTGTGTCCGCGACCCAGGTCTGGCGACTCGTGCGGGTTTTTTTTCTAGGGGTAGCTTCCCCATTCGGCTGTGGCTCCAAAAACCGGAATTCCAAAATGGGTTGCCCTGGTAAGTGGAAACATGGACCAAAACCTGCGGTTTGCCCCTCCTGGTTAATTTTGAGCCACACCCATTTCAGGAATCCGGATCTTTCTAGAAAACCACCCAAAAACCCTGCAAAAATGGATTTCTGGTTTTTGAAAAGAACGATGGCTGAAAAGAGAACAGAATGGAAGAGGAATCAACCCCTCGAGTTTTGGGGAGCGGGGGGAAAAAAAAACTGGCCACTGAGGCATCCCCAAAGGAAAACCCCGGGCATTTCGAGCTGCACGGCTTTATCTTGAACCTAAGTTGCCGCGGCACCCACCAGAAACTAAGTTGTTCAGTGACCCTGGAAAAAAAAGGGAACCCTTTTTGGGGCTTGGACCATTTTAGTGGGGCAGCCACCAAAAAAAAGGGAAAAAGAATTGGTGCCACTGAACAACTGAGGAAATGGATGGTGCCCGGAGGAAACTGGTAGCCCCGAAACCTGCCATCCGGATGGGATGAATATGTTCTCGCGGCGAGTGGGCCTTAGGGGTCCACGTTACGCACGATTCCCGGTACAGAACTGAGATGGGCGAAATTGTGACAACCACGTTCGTCATGTCAAGATCCAACAGTTGTTTGTTGTTGCTAACTCAAACAAACAATTGTTGAGCCTGCCCCACATTTGGAAGGGTTGGGTACACCAGAAGACAATCTTGAAATGGAGTTTCGTGCCATGATGTTTAAGCAGACATGGACCGTTGGATAGGTGTCCAACTCAGAAAAAGCCGTGGGCCTTTCGTGTTGGAGGGGCGGGTCGCAAAGCTACGCCAAGCTAGAACCCATTTATTTTGTCCAATGGGTCGCCCAAGTCCCCCATGTCTTCAAACCAGCGCAAAAACCAACAAGCAAACAGCGGACACTTCCGCCAGACGTGGCGGAAAAAAATCGCCACGGACTTTATGGATTCCCTTGGTACCGAAAGCGGACACTTCTCCAAGCAACCAGCCGCAACCAGGGGAGGATGCCGACCTTTAGAAGTCCTCCGCCCATCGGCAGTTCTCCTTTCAAGGATTGGGAGCCTAATGTAGTTTGTTTTTTTGTTTATCCGGCTTTTACGACAAAAAAGAACGTCTGTTCTACTTCTAAACCTTACCCAAATCCAAGTTATCAAGTCTGTCCTTTTTTGCAACCAACAAAAAAGAAGGTCTAATTCTAAGCCTACCCAAATCCCAGTTCTCAACTATCAGTGCCATGGTCAAAAAGCCCCATGGGTTCCAAGTAGAGGGGTGCTTCAACCACGGCACATCCGAAGCTAACTTTGTCGACCATGGCTACATGTCTCGCTGAACGTCGATGGATGATGTGTTATACGTTCGACATGGCTGGCTGAAGGCCGAGATTCCATTCTGTGTTTGATTGAAATAAAAAGATAACCATGCCTTTGTATAATAAAATCAATGATACAAAACTGTCTTTGTTCAAGAAAACGAAAAGAGATGAACATGCACCGCAGCATTGTCGATGTCTGAAGTTCACCTTGGTAGCGTCTTGTCCTCCCCACTCAACCCGTGCCTCCGCCCTGGCGCTCCAGGTCTGCCACGCTGGCCGCCAAGTAGGCCTCGCGATCTCGCGGCGCGGTGGCAGTTGTCGGAGTTCAGTCTATGGAGGCGTTGGCTGCGATATAATTCTAGTGCCAGCCCCATATGGCTGTGGTGGTCAAAAATGGGGTGACCCCCAAACTGGAACCCTGGTAATGTTGACCCCGTAAAAGTATGTAACCCAACCCGTCCCCCCCCTTTGAAGGTCAGAAGGGGTGTCACCCGGACCGGACTAACAGGGGGGGGGGATGTTTAATACGAGAAACTGATGAACCAACCTGAGAAGCTGATGTGCTTAACCTTTCATCTCCAGGTCCTCTGGGTAAATGAGATATGGCTGTAACCCCAGAATGGCTTGCCCTGGCAAATGAGTTTCCATTTGATTTAGTATTGCTGGAGCTTCCTTTTGAGATCTGGAATTGAGTTTCGGAGTTATGAATTGTTTAGTATTGGGCGGTGTCACCCGGACCGGACAAATCAGAGGATGTTTCATACGAGGTCAACATTAAATGGAACCAACAACTCAAATCTGCGGCCCCCTGGACTCAGCCCCAACTGAGATCAACCAATTCCACTTGATCAATGGGGGTGGTTTTGGCCCCAAAAGTGGTCTGACTCCAACCACTCTTAGCCCAGAAATGGACACCCCGCCAACAACAAACAAAAATGGTTCATGAGTATAGGGTCAACATCATGCGCCTTTTGAGGCGCACAGTTGGGATGTGTTGAAGGGGAAGCTTGCTGAGCCCACTTGGAGTTATTGGAAGTATGACACGAAAGGAATGCTCGCGGAGAACCCAAGGAACCGTCTTTCTCCGAGCTGCGAAACCTTTTGGGTTTCGCACCGCAGGGTGTGGCTCCCTTTGCGAGGAACCGTTCCGCGCCGTTTGGCTGGCAAAGGGAAGCCCTCTGCAGAAACTTGGTGTTGGAACTTGGAACCTCCCTTTTTTGGCTAAGGAAACCACAAAACAAGCTCAAAATGACAAGACAAAGCAAACCGAAACCAAAAGGTGCAGGGAAAAGAGTAACATGGGTGTGTCACACAAAAAGAAGAACCCCAAGAAGGGGGTCCCTTTGGAACCGTTTAGAATCCACATAAGGGTCTCCCAAAAAGCAAGCCACGCCCGAAAATGGGGCGCTCACTCAGGACCGACTGGTGGCGCACGCTTGTAATCACGGTACCCTTGCGTCACTTGAAGGGAATGCCTAGCCATTTTAGGACTTCCAGCCTAAGATTCCGGCTCTAATCCCCTCTGCCTAATGCTAAACGAACCGGGGAGCCCCTAATGCTAAAACCGGTTTTTCCCCGGGAACCCACTTAGTATTAGGGGGGGGGGGGGGGCGGTTTAGCATTAGGGGAAGGAGTTATTTGGTTTGAGTCCCCAGGCAAGGAGCGAGCCGCGAGCCACAATTGGCGATCCATGAACTGAGTGTTCACGGGAAGGATTTATCAGACTAGTTGATTGAAATGGGGGTCCCAAACAAGGATCGTTCACTCTTTGGGTGCGAGTTCAGGGATCATCCGAGGGTGGTTCCTGCAAAAATATTGATGTTCAGTCGAACACCCCAAACGTGGAGGCGGCTTTTGTTTGTACGCATGTAAAGCACCTCTGAATGATGTGTGTGTGCCTTAGGGAGAAAGCAAACCTTGAATGGGCAGTACAAAGAGCTGGGTAGTTATTTCGAAGGGCAACCCTCCTTGTGGATGGAGGTGGTTTGTCCCTGTTGTCACAGGCAACTGGTGGGAAGCAGATTTTGTCATCCGGGTATGCCGACTGATTGTTGCTACTGGGTCCATTAAAGTGAAAGCCTTACAACTACTATCTAAAAAGCGGTTTGAAGGGAAACCACCCCAAAACGGTCTGGCCAGGGGAAACAAAGAACACGCCCCGAACCGGATTGTCTCCAGAAAGTTTCAAAATAGCTGATTGGGCTGTCCGCTCCCCCCGTCGGAAAAGGATCATGTTACCCAGAACCACATAAAGAACTGAAAAGGCGGACAGCCGCACCCATGGGATCCAATTGGCCGGGTTTTGTTTAGATTTCCCATGACTTCCCAAGCAGAAGCCCTGGTTTTGATCATTGAAGTCTGTGGAGGTAGCCAGAAAAAGGACCGCCCCACACCCCTGCATGGTGGACACGTAGAGACTTCCGTTTAGTTGTTTCCTGGCTGGAAAACCAACTCTAATGTCGACCTATGATTAAACCCCCGATTAAAGTTATGTTGTGGGCCAGCACTGGTTTATACCTCCCCAAATAAAGTTGTGCTGTTTTTTGTTTGCAGAAATCCACACACACACACACACACACACACGTACGCGCGCGCGCGCACGTGCACGCGCACGCGCACGCGCACGCGTGCACGCGCGCACACGCACACACGCACACACGCACACACCCACACACACACACACACACACACACACACACACGGCGCTAGCATCATCTCAACCTCTTCCACTAGCTGGTCTGATTGGTCAGTATCTGCCTCGCCTCTCCTAAAATTCCAGATCGACGAAAAACACCAGCTCCCAATCTGCAAATTGTTACATACTCTTGATTAAAGGTGGTCCCGGATCAACCCTACCAGGGGGGGTACTTGGGGGTTGAAAGAAAGCATTACTTAGGGGGCCCCCCTTTATAATAATGATTCCCGGTTGCCCCCCCCCCCCCCCCGCAAGAACAATCTCAACTCGTGTTTGAATAGGTTTTCTTAGTAAAAGGCTCAATCTTTAAAAGGTTTCCCTTGAAGCTTGCTCCCTATGACTACAATCATCTAGCTTTGGCAATCCCAACAAAAATCCCAGCTCCCAAGCTGCAAATTGTTTACATTCTCTTGCGTAAAAAGTGGCCCCCAATCAACTCTACAAGGGGGTAGTTTTGGGGGTTGAACAAAATATTCAGGGGGCCCCTAAATAAAGATTCCTGGCTGCCCCCCAAAAGAAAATGGATCCCAACAAGTCAAGTCTCAAAAGGAGGCTCCGGCAACAGCAACACTAAAAATTGGAAACTCAAACCCGTCAAGTCAAATCTCAAAAGGAGGCTCCAGCACTACTAAACCAGTTGAAACTCAAATCCCTCAAGTCAAATCTCAAAAACATGTTCCAGCAGTACTAAACCAATTGGAGACTCAAATCCCTCAAGTCAAATGTTAAAAGGAGGCTCCAGCAATGCTAAATCAGTTGAAAACTCAAATCCACTAATACTAAACCAGTTGTCCAATCTCAAAAGGAGGCTCCAGCAATACTAAATCAATTGAAACACAACAAATCTGTGAGCAATACTTAGCACTTCGTAATCAAGTTAGGAGAACTATTTGGGGAGGGAAGTTGTTTGGCGGGGGTGGGGGGGAGTAGTTTATTAATCAGAGGTAGACATTCAACCCCCGCTTTGTACAGCCTCAGCCGTGTAGTGCATCGCCAAGCGGTATTTCATCGCTGCTTTGTCAACGTGCCCGGCCATTGACAAACCCCGCACGCAAGCAAGACGACTTTCTCATCATATCTTCCCCGCGAAAACACCAAACTAGGCGCGCGTGAATCTTTCAAGCGAGCAGGTACACGTGGTCCATGAAATGGAGTTTGCTGCTGATGTTGAACACCTTCTCGTCTTCTTCCCGGCAGTGCTCGCTGACCTGCACGTAGATTTGGGCGAGCTGCAAGCGTAGCTTCAGGTTCGGGCGCTCTCCAGTACCCCAGCAGCCCACCGCCCCACCCCCACTGGAAGATGTGAGCGGGTACTCAGCAAGTGGCTTGCCGGTTATAACCCACTTGCCAGACTTGCAACCATGGTAAGTGGGTTATAACCATGGCCATTGCCCAGCTACGAAGTACAATGTCTCAAAAAGGGATCCCGGGATCCCCAATTTTGAGAACACCAGGATCCATGCAGAATACTATCTTCCAGGTAACCTCTTCCCCCCCGCAAAACCAAGCGCCGCCTTGAGCGCCACCAGCGGCGTGGACAGCACCTGCTGCGCCAGCGCCAGGCTCGGAGCCGAGCGCCGCTCGCGCAAATACCGCGCGCCGAAGCGCAGCGTGGCGCTGACGCGGTTCTGCAGCGACCTCGCGACGGTTCGAAGGGAACCCAACATGAGGGTCGCGAACAGAGGTGGCCTTTTGGAAAAATAGCGAGATGGCCATGGGAAATGGAACAAAACCCATCTAAACCAGCGCCATCTATTTTTAACCAAACTAACCTAAAAAGGACACCTGTGGTTGCGAAATCCCGTCCACCACCACGGTTTCCCACTGAACGGAGCCCTATAACCATGGCTTTGGTGGGTTCCACGGTTTGGTGTTGAATGGAACCCAAATTTCTACTTGAAGGGGCGATCGGGCACGTCAGGTAAGTAGTTTAACCTGGTTACAAGTGATTGAACGGAGATTTCTATGCATGCAAAAAGGCTTACACCGCTTGGTTTTGAATGGAACCCAACACTACCGTTGAGGGTTGCCAAATCCATTGACACCACAAAATGGGACCATAGGAAACCATGAGAAAACAGAGTTTCTTAGGTACCGAATCCCGGCTTTTCGTGGGGGAATTGAGTGACTACCCCATGTCCCTCCCCAAATGAACCATAGACTACCCTCAATTTCAACCGAGCCGTATGTATGTGAATGTGTATACATATATATATATTTGCAACCCCCCACCCCCTCCCAAAACCCGCGGCTACTGCTTGTGTGAGCGGCCAAGTCAGTTTAGACAGGTTTTACCCAAAGTTTGCTCACTTCACAATTTGGCAGACTTACGCACGTGATTCGTTAAGACTTTGCCACCCATATAAATTAGTAGCTATTGCTCTTCTACGTTCTGAACTAGTTGTCTTAGTCTAGTCATAACCCAATCTGGCTAATTGGACAATTAGCATCATAAGCAAAGTTTGGCACAGTGTAAAAGCGAAGCTAGGGAACATGTCATATCACATAGGGTCTGGACCATCATGTGTCATACACACGTCTCTGAAGTGTTCAAAAAAGTCAGCCAAGAAAAACACATCTGCTTAGAAATTGTGATGTTCGCTCAATGTGACCAGATTACTTGAGTTTTGGCATGTCTTCAGCGCTAACGTTGTCCTCGCTCAATTCGCTGTAAAACATCTCTGTGAGGGTACCGGCGCATGTGTATCAAAACAAAGGCAAACCACACCTCTTCTGCTTCGCCTACACATCTTGTTTTTTTTCTTATTTCAACTGATGTGCAAATCCTCTTCGTCTGTCAACTGACAAACCTGTGGCAATACCAAAACATCTGCTACGCATCCTTCATCTCTCATCTCAACTCATCTGCAAATCCCCTTCGTCTGTCAGCTCACAAGCCTCGGCGCATACCAAAACATCTGCTCACACCTCATATGCCACGCTGTCTGCCAAAATCACTAATGTCCCTGAACATAATATGTTCTGCACAAAACCGCTGCCAAACAGCATGTAAAAGACCGGTATTTGCAGTGTGTCTCCATATCCAAGGGTTGGTGTGGAGTTTTTAAAGTCATCTAATCACATATCCAAGGTCCATATTTTGAACTATCATTTGTATTTGCCGCGCACAAGTCGGAAAGGATACTAAGGTGCACACCCAAACAGGAATGACTGAAAGCAAACGCTTTATAGCGCTCTTGGATCTAAGATTCTAGATTCAAAATTCCCGCAACTCTGGATCTTGAATCTTGAATCCAGAATGCGACCCCCCAAAAAATGCTTTAAAGCTCTTTAAAGCACATTTGGATCTAGGATTCAAGATTCAAAATTCCCAGCACTCTAAATGTTGAATCTTGAATCCAGTATGGGGCCCCAAAGTGCTTTAAAGCGCTTTAAAGCATTTTATCATGGATTCAAGATTCAAGCACTGGAGTCCTGGGAATCTTGAATCTTGCGCTTTAAAGCGTTTTAGGTGGATACAGTCACAGTCAAGCTCAAATGCGGTCAGCAGATGCGGGAATATTCAAAGCTCAAACTGGAGTGTCTGAAAGGGGTGGAAATCGCGGACAAAAGTACTGCACCTACCGCCAAATTCCCTCGATTCCCTTGGGGCGCGTTTTTTTTTGGGGGGGTACCATATATTTATGTTTATATTTATGAACCATTTTGGGGCTACGCAGGGCTGTCCGGGGCATCGCGTTCGGTCCATGCCCGGGGCCGCTCATTCTGTGTCTCACAGACCAAAACGATACCGCGGGGGGAGTCAACCTGTGTTGGCTTCACTTTAACAACCTACCAAATTGGCTACCAGAGAGGTACCGAGGCTGAGACAAGCCACCCACGTCGAGACGACCCTTAGGAATGGGCTAGAGGGATTCGGAGGCAAGCCCATTTGCAAAGCTCACGGTGTCCAATTCCCCTTGTCCGAATCACGGACAAACAGAATCATTCCGGGGTCTTTCCCTGATACTCTTGGCGCAATTCTCTATGGAACCAATGAGACAATGCCGTCAAAAAATATGTTTTTTAGAAGTCTATAGCAGTCTTCCCAGTGTTCCCCAAACAGTTTCTTAGCTGGGCTGCCCGCAGATCCCCTGCTAACAGTTCCACTTTTCGTGGGTTAAATTCAAAAACTATCACTAAACCAAACTAAAAAGATCTAAAAAGCTTTCTGGAACCGAATGACTTCCCAGCCATCAAGTCTTGGTTGCTGTTGACCCCCCTGCGAAAAGCTTCACTTTTTGGGGGGGTAGTGGACAAGTCGAAGTCTAAAGGTCCAACCCCATAGCAGTTCAGAAGCTAAGTTTTGAGTAACCCTCCGAGTGACGCCTGAGGCCACGGCATCGTCACGTCCGGCCCGGCCGTGCCGGTGCGCTGGGCAGCCTCTCCGAGTCCCAGCCCAACAAAGGCGCCAAGTGCCCCAAAAAGCCCCGAGCTGAGCCGTGGTGAAGCTAGGTCCAGCAGAGAGCTTAGAATAAGGGTGTCCGATTTGTTTTTCTGTCTATATTTAGAAGACGAAAACCCTCCCAACCAAAAAAGGACTGAGGAAGGGCACCAATCGCTGGGGGACGTAGTAAATGAGACCTCGATGAGCGCAAGAGATTCCAGTAACAAAGCAAAACCAAGCGCCGGAAACAGTGCTTGGTTTGAACCTTAACCCAAAATTGGGGGGTTCATGGCTGTGGTTGTCAAAAATAGGGTAACCCCAAAATGGAACCTTAGTAAATGGAAACATGGACTAAAACCTGCGGCCCCCTAGTGGTTTAAATTTGACCCACACCCACATTGTTCGGGAAAAGTCCGTGGATTCCACTGAGAATTGAGAAACTGACACCAACTGAAACGAGCTGAATCCGTCCATTTGTCAAACAAACTGACCTAAAAGGACGCGTCCCTATGCCTCCAAACTCTCTGAAACTTGACGGAAAGGGGGCGAAGATGCGGGGCTCCAAAAGTTGTGTTTGGAAGGCAGTTTCCGTTTGGTAACACCATCCCGTTCCACCCCCCCCCCCCGCAACACGGAACGTGCGCTCCTTGAAGGAAGGGGTTGACGGCTCAGTATGCATGTCCTGTGTTGGAGCAGAGTGGATCTGCTGCTGCCTATGGAAGAACTTTTGCATACGGTGGATGCCCAAGAAATCCAACCACACCCACCGGCAAAAGCATGGTGAACTACAGTCAATTAGGGAGTCCCTTGTTCCCCTGCTTGCAATATAAAGGGCATCCACCATACCTCCAACAAAAGACCTACTGTGCTAACCCAGTAAAAATAGTCCGGAAGCACCAATTTAAGCTCCACTTTCAACTGCACCAAAGAAGCCACCCACGCCAAAACCTTGCACCCACCCACCCACCCACCCACCCGCCCGCCCGCCCGCCCGCCCGCCCGCCCGCCCGCCCACCCGCCCCCAAGCTCTAGTCACGAACAATATTCTGTGTTCCCCTACAGTAAAAGGAAATGAAGGACCCCCTTTGAGGTTGGGGAATTCAAATATCATTTAAAGGGAAGCTGCTCAGGTTCCCTGATTTTGAGACGTGTTCAAGAGAAACTTGTGTGATTCCCTTCTCTTGAGGAGTGGTCTAGTGCCAAGTTCGGGTCAATCCGGACTGTACGAATGAGGTCAATTCATGCTTGGGGGATTCAAATCTCTGATCAATATAGCATGGAACGTCACCAATAGGAAATCACTCAAACCGGCCACCAAGGCGTCCCAAAACTGGTTCGGGAACGGAACCCGCCTTTCTCCCGATGTTCGACCACGTTTTTACTGAGGCATCAACTCATTTTCGGGGATTCTAATACTTCAGAAAATATGCCTCCGGAATCGTTTCGTTGATTCTCCCATCACCGCATGGGTCCTGTGGGCGTATTGAGGTAGGTGGACGGAGACAGTGAAAGCTCAAACTCACTTCCTGAGTGGCTTGCTCTCAAAAAGAGAGCCCAAACTAAAGTTGCCACTGGAATGGTCTTCCTAAAATGGTATTCAAGGAACTCGGGAAGTAAACAGGGCTGTGGGAAATGACCACTTCTGTGATACAACAAAAAGGACTTCCCAAAGTTCCCCCCCATATAAAGGGGGAGTTTCCCTTGTATCACAGAAGTGGTTGGATAAACCCTGAGTGATCAACCACAACCCCGTCTCTGAACCCTGCCCGCGTGGTTTATATATATATATATACATTTTCCGGGCTTCCCGGGTGTCCGTTGCCTTGAGCTGCGAGAGAGTGTGGCCCAGGCAGGAAGCCAACAGCAGCAGGAACCCGTCCAGTCCCAGCCTACGGCTTCGATCAAGTTGAGTACCACGACGGCCCAATGGGCTTTGACGTGTCTTTTGTTTTTGTTGTTTTTGTGTCTTTTTGGGGAGGGAAGGGGGGAAGGGGGGGAAGGGAGAGGGGGGGGAAGGGGGGAAGGGAGGGGGGCGCCCTTTTTGGCCCCCCTTCAAGGGAATCCAAGATGAAACCAGCCTTCTGGAGGTTCCCCAATTTGTAACACAGACCCGAATGCGTGTTCTCTCAACCGGCGAAAGCCACTACCCTCTCTCCAACATGCCATGGTGCTTGTGATGCCAAAGTGTGTGTGTGTGTGCGTGTGATTTCCATGACTACTCTACATCACTAAGGAACGCTCCATGACTCACAAACCACCGCCAGGGCCGAGAAAACGCGCCCTTCTCGCTGGTGCTATGTTGACAGGCATGGGAAGGACGGATTCAAGTGGAAGAGGTTCGAACAGCTGGTAAACCCAAGGTCCCGGAAAATGTGACCGGCTGAGCCTTCCGTTTACTGGGAAAACGCCTCGATTCGCGCCAAATAGCCAAGGAAAGAGGATTCCCTCACAAAACCGCCCATGGTACGTATCCGAAACTGAGTCAGAGGCGCCTAAAATGGGGGAGCGTCCCTAAGTTTACACCTCTGGAATGAGCTACTGAGTCACCTTTTAGCTTTCCCCCTGAATTCCCCAATTTATGTCAGTCATCGAGTCCAAACCCAGTGCCAAATGACCCGGATGGTAGGCCACTAGTAAAGAACCACTAAAAAAACAGCCTTGGTAGAAGTCCCGTTCCATGCAGTTGTCCAGTTTCCGCTTCCTTGCAAAGCGACATGGCAGCGTTTTAAGGAGCGGAATGCATGCTTCGGTCGGGAACCCTCTTAAAGCTTCTGACCACCATTGTTGCTTACACAGTGTGTGTATATATATATATATATATATATATGTATGCACATACTGTATACATGTATGCGTGTTCGACTACCCTCTTACTTGTGGGGTAGGCAATTGACATCCTCTCTCTTTGGCACCCCCAAAACCATATGAGCCCGTGACAAAACCTCTTTCTCCCAGAGGACAGGGGAAATGGGGGCCCGGGACTTCCGAAATGTTTTCGTGTTTCCGATCTTCGGACCCCAGGCCACCCTTCTCCACTTCTTGTTCTCACTAATCATTTGATTGTAGATGTGTATACGATGTGTATATACATATATACGTATATACATATATATATACATATCCAATCCTCCTTTTTCAGGGGCAGTGGCAATCCTAGGCAACCCCAGCCGACCCGCACACCTCCCCCACTCCCTCGCCTTTGCTGCCATGGCCATTTGCCGAGGTCCTGCGGAAGCCGAAAGCAGGCCGAACGACCCATTTTTTCCGCTTGAGTCACTTGCTCAAAACCCGTTTTTTTTCAATGGTCGACCCCCAGAACCATGCTTCGAGAATTTCTGAAAGCGGAGATCCGCAGCTATTTCTGGTTGGGATTGCCCCTTCCTTCCTCTACCCGGATTTTGTTTGTGGCTCACTTAAAGATGTGATCGGGTACTCAGCAAGTGGGTAGTAAGCCTGGTTATAACCCACTTGTCAGACTTGTAACCATGGTAAGTGGGTTATAACCAGTTTCGGGAACAGGATCCATGTAGAATACTGTCTTCCAGATAAGCTCTTCCCCCCTCCCCTACACGTTCTGTGTTAGTGGGAGCAAGGGTAAGATGCTCTAAATCTTTGAAAGCCGGCCGGTACGCGGAAAGCGTGGTACTCGAACAATCATTCTTAGATCGCAATTCAGATCTGAGATTTCTGCTTGTAACAAATGGGTGTACTCGTCAGGTTGTCCAAGCATCCCGGTCTCCCCAATGCCCAGAAACGTCCTCGGCCGTGGCAGGCCTCAGAGCTTCAACAACTTTTGGCTCTACATGGTGTCCTACGTGTGGCTTATTTAGGCCGTACTGTGGATGGACAAAATCCTGCCTGTTGAAACCATGGCAAACCATTCTTTGTTGGTACTTACAGGGGAATCATCATTCCAGGGATTCTTTTACGGTGCAGGATTTCGTCCATCAACAGTATGTCCATGAAGCCATGTAGCTAAAGTTGCCAATAGAGGCGTGGGTAAGCTGCTCGCATGCCTGCCTCAAACGTCCGGGATTTGATGAAGGGGAAACCAAATGAGTCACAATCAACCTGGTAGCCTTCACCTGGGACTCTTCCTGACCTTCCCTTGCCCGGCTTTGCTTGTGACTCAATTGGAGACCAACCATAGGGCTCTTGGTGTGCTAGGCACCGCTTGAAGGCCTTCGTGACGAATATTCAACGGAAGGGCTCTCTGGTATCAAACGCGGGTTGGTTGCGAAATATGTTTCAACAACCAACTGGGCAGTTCAAAATGGAGTGTTGGCCAATCCATATTCATCATAAATACCGGAGAACCACTACAAAGGAGGCTTGCCCAGCGAATGAAGGGCTACCCTGGTCCGCTTTAAAGGGAAACCAACAGAAGGCTGCATAACCAGGCAATAAAATCGAACCCTGTTAGGCCGAGTAGCGCCGGCCGGGCTCGCTCCCAGAAATCCACTCGGGGAAGAAAAAAAAAACGCAAACAATTGGAGACTTAAACCAACACATCACCCCAAAATTTGTTCAAGTCCGGACGCTTGCCGGCAGGGTTGGGCACAGTTGGCTGAACAAATGGACCATGTCCGCCTTGAAGCGAAGCCGCAAGGAAGGTTGTTGAAACAACGGTGGTTCAAACTCGTGCTTAAAAAAGCTGGCCAAACAATCGCGATCCAGACTGCGTATAATATATATATATATATATGTGTCTGCATGGTACCCCCGAAACCAAACACAACCACCCTCTAAGGACAAGTAAAAAGATTCGCAGTGTTTTGCATAGACGCGTCCATGTATGTGCGTACGTACGCATGTAGGCATGCGGGTATGCAGGTAGGTGGGTAGGTGGGTAATACCCACTCGCTTGCTTTCTGCTCCCCTGCTAAAAGTTTTTAACTTTTAGTGGTTTAGTGGAAAACCCATTTTGCAAAAAGTTCTTCAGTCCTAACAGCCCTTGGCAAAATGCACCAAAGGGTAGATGCGAGCCTCGGATCGAGGCTTCGAGGCTCCGGCGCGGCCTTCAGCTTGATCTCCACCTCGACGGCGTCCGACGGCTCGGCGGAGGCGAAACCGACGGCTGCGGATGGCGCGACATGGGCGCCGTGTCTTTAGACACCGTGGTCAACTTGAAAAGCCAACGAAATGGAGGTCAGGTGAGCGATAAAAGGTCAATGCCTTGTGCGAACTTGGGATTGACTAAACGTCTAAACGCCTTACGTGGACCCATTTGCCGGGGGGCCTTGTAGTTCGAACACAAGCTACACAATCAAAACCAAACGGCTTGCAACAACCCAAACTTGATGACTTGGTAAATGGGACGGCCATTTGTTGCTTTTTTTGCTCACCTCCAAACGCAACCCGGCCCAAACTTTCCACACATAAAGTAGTTCCCACAAATACCAAGGGAAGCTAACCTCCAATTGGCCAAAAAGTTGATACCTCAAACCACCCTTTGGTTTTGTTCACTCTTTTCATGATGCGTCCCATCGCGGCGCAACGTCCAATCCCCACTGAAATCGACTAAAATGGATGGTGCGCCTACCCCATATTGGTACCATTGGTTTTGACCCACAGCCGTTTCAGCCAATGGACTCGGCCCCCGAACGCTTTGCCGACGCTTTGACGCTTTGACTCGGCCTGGCGCGAGTTCTCTGCCAGTAGCTGCCAAAGGCAAGCGGCGGTGGCATCGTCCAGGCAGGTGCCTCGGCTTGGTGATCAATCAGGTGAATGATTGTACCTGGGTGTTGTTGTTTTGTTTGGGCGGGGGGGGGGGGTGCTGCTGTATTGTGTATTGTTTTGTTTTTTGTTTTTTCCCTATATGCTTGCTGGTGATTTCTTTCTATTTATTTATGTGTTTGTTTTTGTTTTGGGGGGAGAGGGTACTTTTTGTATTATTCTTATTCTATTGATTTTGTTGTTGTTTGGTGTTCTTTTGGGGGGAGGGGAGGAAGCCACAAAATGGGAGGGGTCCCCCAAAAAGCAGACTCAACTTTATCAATAGGCATGGAAACTAACAGAGTTCGGTTAAACAAAAAGAAGCTATTCTAAACCCGGCAAAAACCATGGCAAGACTAAAAGCGGCCAAGTCGTTGTGTTTCTGGTCTACAGAAAATTCAGTGAACCTTAAAGGTGAAAAGAAGAAAACACATCAAAACCCCGAGGAAACCACCCTTTGGGAATTCCCTGCTTTGAGTCGACTCCGAGTTTAGCGAGAAAATGCTGAAAACTCTCTACTAATCTTGGCTGATTGATATTGATATGTGATAAATCCAACTCTAAAGAGTAGGCGTGTCTTCTTTGTGGGTACTCCCTGTTGGTTGGTTTTAAAGGGAAACCAAACGGAAAACCATAATTTGTCGGGGAGTCCCGTTACAAAAAAAGCACCCACAAGACATGGGGTGGATCTCAAGAAGATTCACAGACGGATCACCCACCTGGTTAGTTTTCGGTTGGGTCCAATAAATTTTGATGACAATCTGATCGCTCCTCCAGTTCGATGTACATGTGCAGCTGGGTCCCGCATGTTGAGACAAGCCATGGATATGCAAACACTGAAGAGCTTGCACATGAAAAGAAGAAATGGAACATAGTGCAACTTCCTGGTCTAGTCCAGTTTATGTTGCAGCATTCGGGCCTATGCCGAGTGAACATCACCTGACGACCTATGCATCGGTTCAACGGAAAGATTCCGACTTTCGGCCAATGACGGCGGAATCCTTGGTTGCTGCAACGACCCCCCCTGCAAAAAGTGGTCAACGTTTTGTGGGGTTCAGTGGAAAACACCACTTGACTTCAACTGGACTTCAACCAAAAACTTCAAGTCTAAAGATCAATTTTGCCCAACAGCAGGCAAGAGAATTAACAATTCGGCCCAAGCCGCGGGGACCAAAAAAAAAAAGATCGGCGCGCCGGAAAAGTTTTCTCTTGCAGCAGAAGCCGCAGGGGCTGCAGGCGTCATTGAGGCGGCCGTGGTCGGCGCCGCACACGCACTGCGCGCCTCGACTGAGGTTCCAAAAGGAGTGCTACTCGGGGAGGTGCTACCCCACGAAAAAAAATGCTTCCTCCTAGGTTTCTGGGAGGGTGCTACCCCATGGGGAATTGCTACCTCCTAGGTTTTGGGAGTTGCTACCCCTTTCAGGGGTAGCCTTTCGGGGAGTTGGTAGCCTCTTGGATTTTGGGAGTTGGTACCGTTTTTGGGGTACTTGGGGGAAACCAGAGAGCACACAAGAACGGTTGGGTGCTTTTTTCATTTGCGGACAACCCCAAAAAGATCATACCCCAAGTGTCTGCCTTCGGCTCAAGTCGCCGCATCCGCCTTTGCACATTCGTTTTTGCCATTTTGCTCATAAGCCCCAAGCTTAACATGTTGTCTGCCCCTTGGACCAACCACATCTCCAGCGGGCTTCTTGGTCTACCCCAGGCTGTACTACCTGCGTAGGTGGGGTAGCTGGATCATCTGAAAGTTCATAAGTAGTTTTTCCGCGGGGTTGATGGGCTGTAGGCGTGATAGAGGCGTCTATAATACTGCCTCCTCGCACTTTAATTGTATGTCGCTTTAGTTGTGTGTTAAGACGAGTTCCGCTTGCTCAGTGGCCATTGGCAGCTAGTGGAACGCAGGAGCCTTCCACCAAACCACCCCAAAACAACAGCTTAAAAAGCCACACTTGTTGAGGACAAAGGGTGCAGGGGGCGTCAAAAGAATTTTTGGAGCCCGAAAGTCTTGCTTGGAATCCAGGCGAATCGCATGGTGTGGGTGCCCCGTGGGCTGATCGCGGTGCGCCGTTTTGGAGGTTGCCATGTTCGAACGGTTTGAAAAGCATGCGAGAACCGGAGCCTGTATTGGGGGGTTCCCTCCTTTAGGACACACGCATCTCCCCTCATTCCAACAATAAAGGAAGTGAACTGGGCCCAGCAGGGGTGTAGTGTCCCAAAACCCTCCTGTCAGCTTCTGTGAGTGGAGATAAGGTCAGGCCTTTTTGAGCCACGGTCAATCTGAATCGAGCGCCCCATGACATTGGATGTTGGATTTTGAGAAGACGCTTCCGTGTGGGAATTTGGTGAGAGGTACTCAATGTCGTGACCCGTTGACTGCGGTTGGTGGTGAACGTTGGCTGATATGTGGACTTCGAACCAGTGCCAGGATTGATGACAATCCCATTGCCCAGTCAAAGGAACCGGTCTTTTGACCCCGGCACGCCTGATGGGGGGCACCTTTTTGAAGGTTTTCAGGGGGAACCAAAGGAAAGTACCATTTCCAGACAGACCCATATCCTTACCCAGACACAAATTGAATGGTATCCAAATGATCCACACTTTTGACAATCACAATCAGATTTGAGCTTTTAACAAAAAAACACACTGAAATTCAGATGTTCAAATGGCGGTTTCATGTTTCGTCTACCCTTTCCGAAATCGTTTCGGAGAAGAGCCCAGTCAGATAGGATCCTCAAAATTACCTCTAAATGATTACAGGGAAACCCCCGAAACATCTTAGACGCCCTAATCGAGCGACGGCGATGTGCGGTGTCACGTCTGAGCGTGCACATGCGCGAGCGAGGGCTGCGCACGTGCGCGCGCGCGCGCGTGGGTACGTGCGGCGCGTGCGAAGCGGTGTTGTGCGGTGCGGTGCGTGCGGGGAGGCGTGGTGTGCGCCATGCCGTGCCGTACCGTGCCATGCCGTGCCGTTGGTGTCAAAACATGCAAGCTTCACTTGAGAGGATGTGGCTCAAAGTTCTCAAGAGCCAGGGCAAAGCGCAGGCTTTAAATCTTTGGTTCCAACAAACTTCCAAGGAAGCCGTTTGGGTACCCTTATTCTAGCCTCTCTACGGGAGGACCTTGCCCTCGTGCACAGTTTCCCTTTGGCTTTCCTTTGCGCCCCAAAAGGATCAAAGGATCAAACTTTTGGGCCCACGTCTCCGCGCCGCCGAGCCACACCCCGGCTGGACCCAAAGCCTTGGTTGACGTTGGAAGGGGAGCAAAAATCTCTTCATTTTAGCAGTGAAGAGGATTTGGATTTCCACCACTAAGCCACAACAAGATCCAAAAAATACGCAAAGTGTGTCCTAACGACCACCGTGAAGCCCGGGGCCCCGGGCTCAAGCGCAGGCTCCGGAGCCGGTCCAGCCCCGCGAGCCGCGCGTCCAGCGGCTCCGGCGCCAAAGGCGCCGAGGCCGGCGCGGCCTCCGCCAGGCGCGGGGCCTCGCGAGGGCCGCTTTGAGGCCGGCGCTTCTTTGGGGCGCTGGAGATCCCCCAGCAAAAAAAAAAAGTTTGCAAGGAAATAGCAGGAAAGTGTGACTTTTTTTGCAAGGGAATAGGAGGGAGATCCAAAAAGTTGAAGTCTGAAGATCCAACCCAATAGCAGTAGAGTTCTTTGGGGGTACCCTCTCTCGCACCTGACAGGGGGTCCCTCCAAGAGGAAGCTGATCTTCCATGTGCCCTCCCTCAGGTGGGAGGAAGGGTACCCGTTTTTGTTTTTTTTGTTTGAGGGAAATGCAGAAGGAAGACCACCTTTTCGGAGGAGTTCCCTTAAACATGACACACTAATATGGGTCTGCCTTCTTTTAGGGTAAGCTTTTGGGATTGGTTTAATGGGAACCTAAACGGAGAACTGAGCCATTTCAGGGGGTGGCGCCCTATTTTGAGACACGCCCAATTGGAGAAGGCAGAAGTCTGTGTTGATGCGAGCGCGGGCAAGCCTTTCGGCTGGATCTCACCATGTCACAGGCTTGCAACCGTCCGTTCGATCCCCTTCAGCCCAAACCAGACTCACGCACTCGAAAAAGGGGAGCATCCCGGGGAGAGGCCTGGGCTTTGCCAAGGATTAGCCTTCACTCAACGGCCTGGTGAGGATTACACAACTGATTGTCCACCGATCCCACGCGCCTGCGCCAGCTCTTCATCCAGGGCAAAGGAGCAGGCACCTATGGATCGCAAAGCCCCAAGACAAGCCAAGCCCCGGCCATGTTTGCAACTCTGTAGCTTGCCATCAAACATAAAGTCATCGCGACTCGGAGCCAATAAGAAGCCACAGCCGAAAAAGGCACTGCCTCATAGGAGCCATCAAGGCAAAGTAAAGGCTATGAACTTCCCTTGGTTCCCCTTGCTATGGATTAGGCTTGGATGAGGACGCCAAATCATGCAGTCCAGAACCTGTGAATAGGAGCAGTTTCAGGTGTGCCGCATCTGAATACATCCATCTTGACATCTTTGCAGTTTCCAGGTCTGCAATTGCACCTTTGCGCAAAAGCAACCCCTCTGGATCCTTCGTTCATAACAAATATGCCGAGGCTCAGAACGTCAAAAGACACACACACACACACACAGTGCGGGCGCGCGCCCCTAGGGAAGCCAACCGATCTTTTTGGGGAATCCCAACCCTAACCTTAAATGGTTTTTACCCCCGAATCGGAAGCCCACCCTCCCTTCCACTAAAATGACACACCTGTAGGAGGGTACCTGGAAGATCATGTTCCTCTTGTGGGGAGCCTCTGTCAGGTGCCAGGTTAGTGGAAGTGAGGGTACATAGCCATGGGTCAAAAGCCCGTACCCCCAGTGAACATCCCCATTGATTCTGACCCACAGCCACATAGCCAGACTGGACCGTCCGAAGTCTTCGTCTCTAGAGCGCGCCTGCTCGAGAGCAAGACGCTTGCAGCATCTCGAAGATGTGGCTCACGGGGACCTGCGCCATGGAAGCCGTGGCCCGGTTTTTGAAGAACCACTATCTTGAGGAAACCAAAGGGAACCCATGAAAATCCCAAGGGAACCCATGAAAATCCCAAGGGAACCCATGAAAATCCCAAGGGAACCCATGAAAATCCCAAGGGAACCCATGAAAATCCCAAGGGAACCCATGAAAATCCCAAGGGAACCCATGAAAATGTCAAGGGAACCCATGAAAATGTCAAGGAAGACCAATGAAAATCCTACGGAAACCCATGAACATCCCAAGGAAACCCACGAAAATCCCAAGGAAACTCATGAAAATGTCAAGGAAACCCATGAAAATCCCCAGGGAACCCATGAAAATTGAAAGGAAGCCCATGAACATTTCAGGGATTCCAAGGAGCCAAACTCGGAAACCGGTCAACTCCTGCCCCAAAGGATCTGGAAAAACCAAAAGCGATCCGGCCGATTCCTCAAGTCACCCCAACGAGTAGGGAACCAGCCCCTCGCTCTTCCGAACGACAAGATTCTAAAATCGGTGCGCAAGCTGTCCGTTTGCCACTATATGGTCTTCCTCAAAAGTGACTAAACTCCATGAACTGATGTTATTGACATTGGCAACTCAGCCATAAGATACTGGCACCTGCTCAAACACGAGATGCGGTCGGCCAAAGTAGCGGCAGTGGGTGTGTCTTTCTTTAAGGGAATCCCCGAATTCCCGAAATGGCTTCGGAGGTCCTTCTCGTTTCCCGAGAAGAAAATATGAAGAAAAAAAAAAGGGGTACCCCAAAGAAAGACTCGCCCGTCCGCAGATTTTAACTTTAAGCTATTCCCTGTCCCACCTTTTTGTTGAGGTGCCCTTTTGGTTTGGTTCGGGGCCCCCTGAAACTGCCCCAAACAAACTCCGTCCGCAATGAAAGGGACACAGAATGCCAAAACCAACAATACAACTGGACCCCCCCCAAAAAAAAAACAAGTAGCTCGTGGTTGGCACGTGTTAACCCGCGATTCGGTTAGCTCAAAACCCAAATTGGCGATCTATGTGAAGCTCGAGCCAGGGAATGGCCGCGAATAAGCTCGGCTCTTTTTCCCGGCTCCCTATATTTCCCCTCAAAACATTACCCCAAGAAATACTCACCTTTCATGGGCCTAAAGGTAATGTTGAAAGGGAAATACAGGGACCCCTGTCTTTGTTCAAGTAAACCCAGCCTGAAAATCCAGCCTGGCCCATCCTCCCCCCCACCCAAATGAAAATCGATCAACCTTCCCTTCGGCCCCCAAATGTCCAGGGGTAACTTTTTCCGTTGAGTTGTTGAAAGGCTAACTTTTCCCATTGAGTTCTTGAAATATCATAAGTTTCGTGTTTTTGTTTTTGCTTTTTCTCAGGAACGGCATCATTCAGAAGTTGTTCCTTACAAATGGCAGCTGGAAGGTGCTCAAGCTTAGCTCACGAAGCTTCGGGGAACCACCACAAAGTGGGCTCCAAAAGCCTACAGAGCATGTAACCTAATCACACTTTATCAGAAACTCCTTTTGGGGGACCACCTTTTTGGGGTTTTATCAGTTTTGTTTTGGGGGGGGACCACCTTTTTGGGGTTCCATGGGGAGTATTTAGACACAAGCTTCAGAATTGGCTCAGCTTTGGTGAGGTTCTCAACAGGCCTTCGCCCACGGATGGGTCCCGGGCACCCCAGAAAAGTACCCAAACTTTGTGTTCACAATTAAAATGATCTTTCCAAAAAGCTTGAAAGGCACTCAGGAGGTAAGTCTATCACTTGAAAGCGGGATTCCCTTCTCACAGACCCCCTTTCCCGCCTCATTTCTCAAACGTGCATGTCTGTGTGTGAGCGCGCTTTTTTGGAGGGTACCTCTTTTTTGGGGAACCCCAAACAACAATTGCCCCCCGCCCTCCACACACACCCCTTAACCCCCTCCCCCCCTCCCCCCCTTTTGCTTTCTGCCCCCCACCCCCTCCCCAGCCCCCAGCCCCCCCCCCCCCGCTTTCCAGCCTCAAAGAGGGCTGGGCTGCCTGGGGCCACCGCGCGGCACAGGCCTTCCAGCACCAGGCAGCAGTGCAGCCGGATCCTCCGCAGCGGTGCCCGGCTCCCCGCCTCGAACGCAAGCGTTCGCGCCGGGGTCGGGAGGGGGGGGGGGAAGGGGGCCCAGAGAGTCGGCGCCCTTCGGTCCAAAGAAAAGGTAATTGTTGAAGGACAGCCTCAGTCTGGCCGCAGTCTGGCTTGTTCTCCTGCGAGATATCATAACCAGCTGGTGAGCGGGAGAATGGATAGGCGAAAGCAATAGCATGTCAAATTGGCCTTAAAGGCGGGTCAAAAAACGAAAATTGAAGCGAGCAGCCAGCTTTCCTTGGTTGCCCCCATTACCACAATCCCATGTCCGACCATGCGGCAAACCAAGAGTTTAAATCAAGGCCTTGGATGCATTGGTTCAACCCATCCCTACTAAGTCCTCCAGTGGAGAGGTTAAAATAAGGGGACCCGATTTTTTTCTGTTGTCCATTTTGGTGGACGAACACCCTCCCAACCAAAAAAGGGGCCTAGCCTAATAATTTGTGTGGCAAATCTCCACTTACGCAAGGCTGCTCCAGGGCTCCCAGGCCGAATGGTTGATTCCTCTCGAGGATTTTGTCTGGATCGTTCCTTGCTTAAGGGGTATGTCTATGGAATCTGTTATCATATTCAGATCAGATAACTTATCTGATCTGAATACGATGTCTGGTTGAGTTTTACTTTTTGTATCTTTGTTCAGTCATTTGCTTTGGAAAGCATTCTTTCAGAGACATGCGTGTGATAAAGCAGTGAGAATATGTTGAAATGATTTATGCCTGCCAGCATGAACCTTCCCCAAACTACAGAGTACCTCGTTTACACCTGGTGAATGAAGACAACGCAGAAGATCAGAAATGATGGGAAGAGATCAAGAGATACAGTGTCAATATAATTACTGTTGATTGAAACGTGGATTGTTTGGTCTTTTATCTGTTGCTTCTTTGTTGCAGTGTTTCCTTTTTCACCTTGTATGAAAACAAAACTAGATGCCTTTTGCAGCCCCTCACTGACAACGAACAAAGCCAAAATAAATCATTGAACAGAGGCCGTGCAATGAACTGTGCAGTCACTTTCAAGATGCAACCATCGGCGTCAGCGCTGCCGATTGCTTTGATTTGCGGGCGAGTCACCACACCCTCCCGAGGTGTTGCGGTGTAAGCCGACAGCAAGCTGTCCTCACCCAAAAAATTCGAGCCGGGCCGCATTGGCCCCAACCAAGGGGGTGTGTTTGGGGGGTTCCTTTTAGGGGTGTGATTTTGGTCAAGCTGCAGGTCTTGGAGGGTGCTGGATGTTGGAGAAATAGATGGACTCCACTGGTAAAGAACATGATTTGAACCAAGCTGAAAACTGAACTCACACTTGTCAACCAAACCAAACTAAACCAAACCAAGGACACACGTCAGCCTACAACTTTACAAAGGCACCAGGCGCAACCCCCGAAAGAACCTTCCGACTTGACCCGCGCACAGCGGGACCCCTTCGCCCGTCGCCTCTTGGAATCTGGTCTGGGGACTTAGCTATTAGGTAAGTCAACCTGGCTAGGTCCTCCAGTGCAGGGGTTGGAATAAGTTGGTACCTGGTGTTTTTTCTGTTTCGTTTATTTTAGCAGGGGAACCCTCCCCAAAAAAAGGGGTGAGAAAGAGCACTACTGGGGGATCTAGTTTAGGGGACTTACCATACGTGTGGGGAACCAGGGTTGCAAACCATGGTGTGCGAAGTTGCGGACCATCTAAGTATCAAACAAAATGGCATGGCCAAAAATCGGTGGAGCAATTCTCGCAAAACTATTCCAATGTAAATGATGCGTGCCCACCACAGGGTGCCCAATTCAATCCCAGACCCATATTACAGGCAATGTGCGTGGCTTTTCGCGGAAAATCCAGGAATCCAGCTGACCCCCAACAAAAGGGGACCTTGAATGGGCTTCAACATGCCTAAAATGGACTTGACTCACACCAGAAAGCTCAGGGATTGAGGAAAGTACAAACAGATCCCACAGACAGACCAGCCTTCTCAATCTTCCCCATTTCCCTGGTAGCCAGCTTGTTGACAATTTCCAGCTTTGTCTCAGATGCTGTGCGAAATTTCTTCGCCTTTTTCGAAGCCCGCGAGCACTCAGCCCACTGCTTGCCAACTCTTCAAGCGTCTTCTCCTTGATAAGCATCTCTACAAACTTCTGGCTTCCTGGAGGAAGCTGGCTGGCCAAGCTCAGGAGCTCCAAGTTGTTCCTCGCCACCGCTTGAAGTTGCTCCATGTCTTCCTCAATCGTCTTCACCATGGTTAGGAACTTCTTGGCTGGCGAAGGCCTCTCACGTGATGCTCTAGGTGGTGTCCTCGGAGCTACACCGACACCGAGGTGTTGCTTCTCAGGTTCATACAAACTTGGCACTGTCGCCACTTGGGTATGGCTCAAAAATAGGGGTCCAAAATGGAGCCCTGGTAAATGGAAAGGTAGACTAAAACCTGCGTAACCCCATCTGTTTAATTGTGAGCCACACCCACTTCTTTGTTCAACGCCTTCCCTTGCAAACCTTTCCCTGTGCAGTCACTGCGCCACCGAGAGCAGCCAAGGAAGAATTTGTCAGGGCAATGCTTGCCCCCCTAAACGGGGTCAATCAGAGAGCTCACAGGGCCCCCCACCCCGGCGGGATATCAAAAAAAGCTGCGGTACGGACCAAAAGACGATGTTGGAATCGGTTTTTCATGGGCCCCATGGACCCCTTCCAGCAGGGACATGTAATTACGTAGAGGTCAAAAGGCAAAGACAGCTTTCCCTCCGTTCTCGTCTCGAAAAGCGAAGACCTGGGGGAAATGTGGATCTGAGTGGTTTGAGAGACCCCCCAATCATGGCGCAACCGTTTTGCTGTTCGTTTCAAGAGAACCAACCAACAGCTATGGAATCCCTAAGAGGGAAAGGTCGGGTGGGTCGTTGGCTAGGCATCCTTACGGAACCTTAGGAAACCCCACCCGCCCCGAACGACCTCTCGGATTTGTTGGGCCTCAAAGTGAAGGATCCGGCCAAAAAAAAACCAGCCGGAGCAGCAGGAGGAGCAGAATGTCTCCAAGATTGCAAAGTTTCCGGTTGGTCTCCCTCTAAAGTCACAGAAAAAAAGGAGGCACCAACTCTAAAAAATAGACACCACCAGAAAAAAAAGGAAACACACGCGTGTTTTTTAGTCCTTGGTTCCATTTACCGGGGCAAACCACACCCACTTGGTGCTTAAAGGGGCATCCTACTTAGTAAGTGGGTAGTAACCATGGCCATAACCCACAAAAGAAGCTCCGCGCAACGGGCAGATGACTTCAGCAGTAAAGATAGCGCTGATAAAGGCAATGGCGACGGTCGAAATCGAGGCCGCAGCCCAAGATGTCGCGGCTCATTCCTCCCCTAAAACCACAGACACTCAAATGGCTGTGGGTCAAAACCCTGGTACAATAGATGTTCTTTTTAGGTTTGGTTAGACATAGACAATAATCCATGATCACCTATGCCTGGAACCCTACCCCCGCCCTTCCCCCCCCCCCCCGGCAGATTTTCTGTGGACCAAACAAAAGGAGCCACAAGAAGGGTAAGTGGGTCAACCGCCCTCACCCAAATACTTTTGTATATTCGGGTCTGTCTTTTTTAGGATTTGGACCCCCCCCCCCAACATGGATTTGGGTGTTCCTTTTGTTTCTAAAAAAAAGAAAACAAACAGGAAGCCTTCAAAAAGACACACCTGTTGAACACCATGTTGTACATGGACGCCTGGGGTGTCGCCAGTATGCGCTACGGACCATGGACCGCAGCCATGGCTGACTATAACCAGGCCTGCTAACCACTTACCCGACGTCCCCTGCCTCGATCGACCCTTTAAAGAGGCCATCCAGGTCAAACCCTTTTGGCGAAAAAAAAAAAGCCAGCCACCCTGGGCCACCCTTGAGCCACTTCCTAGGTACCTCGTGCCCGCTCCGTCTTAACCTGCTCAGACCAGGAAAATTGACATGCTTCCCCTTGGACAAAAAGTTCCTAGCTTTGGACGGGGTCGCCTACGGTTCGCCAAAATGTTCCTGGATCCTGGCTTTGGACGGTTTGGGGGGGCCTTGCCACTTGGCTACCTACCTGCCATTTGCTTAAGCCCTCTGGGAAAAAATGAGAAAATATTTCCAGTAGTGAAACCGTTTCCCTTTCAAAGCCAACAGGGGAGAAAATATATATATATATATACACACATTTCAGCAAAATGGAAGCTACCTACCCCAACTCATCATCCCTCGGCTCCAATCCCCCGCCCGTCCCCTCCGCTCGCCCCCCCTCCGCCCGCCCGAAACGCCGGGCGCTCGAATCGCTCGAGACGGCTCCTGGGAGGCCACCCGCTTCGCCGAGGCCGTGGTCTGCGCCTCCGAGCCGCTGGCGCTGCCGCCTGCGAGCGGAGAGCGAGGCGAGCGAGGCGAGCGAGGCGCTCGGCGCGGCGAGCGATGCGCTGGACGTGACGAGAGTGGAAAAAACCGAAAACCAAATCCAAAACCAAAGGGAGGCCGTAAAGGGGTGCAAAAAAAGGGGTGCCAGAAAAACGGGGCCATGAAAAGGGGTGCCAAGGCAATCACGCAAGTTCTGGAGGAATTCCATGCTTTTTGGGACAGCCAAACCAAAACCAAACCTGCACGGAACCCCTGAAAGCTCCCTTTTGGTGTCCTTCAAAAGTAAGCAGAGCCTACAAAGCTGAGCTTTGGTACTGCTTAGTCTGGACCACAGAGTTTCAGCTTCTCGAGGGTTTCAGAAAAGAACACGTGTCAGCCGCCCCTTCCATTCCTTCCACCCCATTTCACCCCGTTTCCACCCCTTTCCCTTTTCACCCCTTTCCACTGCTTTCCACCCGAAGCGCGTTCAGATTTGCCCTTCGGGATGTAGCTCTCAGTGAAACGGCATTCGGTCATTTGCGGGCAACTCCAGTCTTTCTGGTTCTTTCGGCCGCTCCGCAGAACCAGTTTGGGGAGTCTTTGATACATGAGATCAGTCGTCAGCGCCTGTTTATCACCTCCATGGCGAACTGACTTTTCCAGTAGAAATAGAATGACCCCTTAAAACCAAGAAGGCAAACAAGAAAAACGAAGATATTCTCAAGCAAATGGAAGGAGCGGAGCTTCCCCTTCATGGCAAGAACCCCCGGTGTGGGGGTTGGTGAACGCTTAGGATCCATTTTGCGACCACCTTCAGAATGTTGGCGTTGAGAGGTTGGTGCTGCAGAATGGCGAAGTGCATTTGCTCCCATGGGAGGTCGGTAAGAAGTTCTACAAACGCAAGGGTGCCCAACAAAACAAGGAGCGGTGCCAATGCTTAGATCCCCTGCGCGCGGGCGTGGCTTCCTTGTGTGGAGTCCGCAACCCTTTGGGGCTTGTTTCAAAGCCACACGCCAAACGGAAACCAACCATTTGGTGTCCCGCTAAGGATGACTCTAGTTGACTCTAACTCAATTCAAAATAGAAGCCATAGCCTTATACAGCTAGGAGCAAGAAATACTTCCGTGTATACTGGGGTTTGCCAGTAAGTTGAGAGAATCCTTGGCATACACCTTTGCCAAGGCATGTCACCTTTTATGTCCCCTTTTAAAACGTGGGCTTCTTCTTGGGTTTCATGTTGATTCGCAGGACAATAGTCGAACGACTATTTCTCAGCAGGCCTGCAAAAGAAAACAAACACATATATATATATATATATATGTATACATATATATATATATATATGTGCATGTGTGTATATATATATATATTTGCGGGGGGGGGGGGGGTGATCAATATTCCTGTCTATTTAGTGGGACATATCAACATGTTATCGGTGTTTCGCAATGGTCATCCCATGTTCGCTGACCTTTTGAACCAACCACCATGTTTTCCTTTTGGAGATTTCCCCCACCCAGAGGCTCCTGGGGCTTTCAATGGAAGACCCGACCCCTCCACTACACACCCCGCTTCGGTGTTTGGGGGTCTCAAAACCCGGCTGTTTGAGGGCCCCAAATTGAGCGGGAGCGTCTGGGCAAAAAAAAAAGAAGAAGCAAACAAATAAAATAAAAAAGAAGAAACAGAAGAAGAAGAAGAAAACAAAAGAAAGGGAAAAAAACGCGACCGTCACGGTGCAGTCTGCAGACTGCTCCCCTGAGATTCAGTTCCCCCGACCTGAAAAAAAGAAATCGCGACCCCGAGGAAAACCAGGCGCCGGCTTGGGAGACTTTGCTCGCCGGGCGGCTCACGGAGCGCTTCGCCACGGCCTCCTGCACCGCCTTCTCCTGACGCTTTGGGCGCGCGTTGTGTGGACCCCGTATCGAGGTCCAAACCAGTCGAGAGGTGAGAAGAAGGGTACCCGATTTTTCCTCTCCTTTTTTCGGAAGTCTACAATAATAGGGGAACCCTCCAAAACAAAAAAGGGCTGAGAAAGGGAACTGGGGGACCTGGGTATTCATCAACCATTTTGTTTTGTTTTTTTTGGGGGGGGTCAACCTGGGTTTAGTGGTTAGAATCAGAGGGGAACACCTAGTGATCAACTGGGCTTTGGACTTTTGAGTTGCCTGCCACGTAACACAGCCGACCTTCGGACCTCCGGAACCCGGTGCCTATGGTCCAAACCAGGACCCGAACCTCAGGTAGGTGAAAAGGGGAGGGTAACTTCTGAGTGGCTAAAAGAAGAGACACCAAACGGAAAGAGCATTTTCATTTTGACACATACAGTACCCTGCTTGAGCTAAATAAGTACCAATAGCTTGCTACAATCACACATGCTTTATCCATATGCTTCCAACTTGGGCTAAATACATGCACTAATCATTCTCCTATGATCATGACTGAAAATTGGTATTGAATTGAAAGTATCCCACAGCCCCGTTCTAACTGCTGCTTGAACCTTGTCTCGAAAAGCGGGTGATATGGGGAGAAAACTTTATTTCAAATGGGTTTGTCATTGGCAAACATCAGAAATACAAGGCAGCTATGAGCACCAACCTAGTGTGAGGCTTCCCCATGAAAATCCTCCATAACCGTTGTAGCTTGTACTATGGACGTAGAAACCTAGATTCGTTGGTGGCTAGGCAAGTGGCAAGGGGCCAGCAACACGCTCCAAGGCTTCTGCTTGTGAAGGGAAAGCTCACGAGCGCGACATGTTTCCGGCTCATGCCAGCACGGCATGCTAAACAGGAATGGGAGGATCCAACAGCCATGAAAGCGAGCTCCGTTTCAGAATTGGGCAAGTTCCTTCACTCAATTGGCTGTGGCTCAAAAAAGTGGTACCAACATGGCACCTTGGTAAATGGAACCAAAGACTAAAACCCGTGGTTTGCCCCAGCTCTTTAATTTTGAGCCCTACCCAATTGGATTTCCCCCAACTCAAGGTTCAGCCGGAGAGGCCGGCTGAAACCGGAGGGTGGCCAGGGGTCCTTCCAGATTCAATGAGGTTTGTGCGGCTCCCGGAAAGCTCCTGGATCCAATTTCCGGAAAACATGCGCTCGGGGAGGAAAAGGGGGTTCCCGGTGAAGCTTTGCTTGGTATCGTCCATTCTTTCCGTTTCGCAGGTCATAGGACATGCTAGCAAAAAGGCGATGGCCCAACACAGGACCCAAGCCTACTTGATTAGATTGCAGCTGTGGGTTTGCTGCAGGAATAAATTCTTGGCCCACATCTGGAGACCACAGAAAACAAGATGTTCGGACGTGTCGCATTTCGCCAACCCACAACATAGCCTTCTAACCCTAAACCCTTAACCCTGAACCCTTTAAACCCCAAAACCTTGGACCCTAAACCCTTTAAACCCTCAACCTTAAACCCCCTTTAAACCCCAAACCCCAAGCTCTAAAACCCCACGAACCGCCCCGACGTCCAGAGTCCAAAAACTAAACTCACCCCGCCTGCTTCATGCGCAGCAGGGGCCCCAGGTCCGCCAGGAGCGCGGACTCCCCCAGCGTCTTCGCCAGGTCGCAGGCCTGCGCCTCACGATCCGATGATCCGACGATCCGACGAGCTGACGCTCGCTGAGCGCCGGGCCGGGGATGGGCTCGCTACGGCAATGTTTTTCTCATTTTGGCCGTGCCTTTAAGAGGAAGACCTGGAAGAGCAAACAGTTGAAAAAGATTTAGCGGTTCAGTGGACTTGGAACTCAACCACTAAACCACAATAAGCAAAAATGGGAAACATGTTTCCCAGCAACAACCATGTTGAGAGGAAGTTGGAATCGGTCAGAGGGAGTCGCAGCTCTATGGTGTTGTTCCGCTTGGCTTTCCAAGCCCAAATATGATATTGATGGTTGGTTGGGGGTTTCGGGGGTGCTTCTTTGTCGGATCCACATACACTCGACAAGAGGTTCAACGCCCAATCCAAAACCCGCTTGTTAAGGATACCTGACTCTTTGGCCCTGGATTCTATTGGAATCCAAACGGGAAAAAGCCAAAGCGCCTTGAGGTTCCAGACTCCCTTGACCAAGTTCCCTGGAGGGCTCCACCTCCGCAGTGATTAGAACTTTCTGCGGAAGATCGGTCCAAAGGGACAGACCCATTTCAGGTTTGTCCCCTTAGCATCCCCTTAGCATGCTTCAGATCACCTTGTCCCTCTTCAAAAAGCAGCTGCGGGGTGCTGGATTTGTACCCCCATGCCCTGACAGAACTCCTGGTAGCTGCTGAACCGCTCGATACCCCAGCTCCTTAGCTACCTTCCAACCACCTGGCCCAAGCAGCAGCCAAGACTTTTCGGGGCCTAGTTTGCTTGGGTGATGCGAAGGGGACAAACCTGAAATGGGTCTGTCCTTCTGTGAAGGTACCCCGAAGTTTGCGGGTTTGACTAAAAAACCTAAAGAACCCCCCCAATGCTTGTTCTGTTTTTCTGGCGGGGATCCCTTAAGAAAAGGGCACACCCCAAAAACTTGGAGCCCCAAAAGGACCTTCATGTCGTTTTACCCAAAAGCGAATCAGACTTGGTACTGTTCTGCAGGCTCCACGAGCACGCTTTTTTCCAGCAATCTCCTTTTCGGGGATCTTTTTGGGCTTCGTGATCATTTGCAGGGAGGACTCCGCGTGGAAAGGGGTGTCCGAGGTCACGGTCATATGTCTGATGTATAGCGTATGCGTTTTGCTCCAAGCCCGTCCCTGAGGCTTGTGCATACGCCAAACCCCAAAATCTCCCCTTCTCTCTCTCTCTCTCTCTCTCTCTCTATATATATATATAGTATCTATGTATATATATATATATATTTATGCGGGTATGGAAACATATATCCACATGCGATTGTTCTTGCGTTTCAACAAGGCGTCACAGGGAAATCGGCCCCCCCGCCAGCAACTTTGGGGTTCCACCCCCCAGAAACTCCGACTCGCACTGTGGCCCCGCTCCGGCGCACGGCCCGCTGCGGCACTCCGCGCCGGCTGTGCCAGGAGGGGCCGCCTATGCCAACCCGGCTTGGGATGGAAACTACATCTAGGTCCTCCAGTAGAGAGATTCGAATAAGGGTACCCGTTGTTTTTTTCTTTAAGTCTGTTTTAGTAGGGGAACCCTCCCAACCAAAAAAGGGGTGAGAAAGGGCACTACTGGGGGACCTAGACATCCAAAATAACGCGGTTTGGAGGTAAGCACAACATACTACACCAGCAAAACAAGTATCACAGTGACAAAAGAACACATCCTATTACCTTCCAAAAAGGAAGCCGGACGCGACTACTTTAGGGGTCCCCCGTTGCGTTTTGATTGCAAGGCAGGCTTGTCGGGCTTGTCTTGCAGCGCCAGGGGGAGGGTCCAGAGCGAGCGCTGCCCAAACGCTTCGGAAATGGGCTTGTCTCTTAAGCTGGATATGAGGCACGGTGAAATTTGTTTGTTTCTCTAAGAGGACACAGGAAGCGTAGTGCGACCCACTTTCAAGACAATTGAAACTCGACCGCATGTCCCCCGCCAAATGCACAGACAAATCAGGACATGTTGACCCAACCTCGGGTGGAACTTCGCCTTTGGGGATACGTTCCAGAAGTTGGTGCGGAAGGAATTGGAACATTGAAAAGCATGAAAAAAGGACGGAGAAGGACGGAAAAGGATGGCAAAAGATGGAGAAGGAAAGAAAAGCACTGTGGATTATCAGTCGAACACCTGGCCCGGGCTAGCGGTACGCCAAATGGCGGGGCATTCGACCCCCAAAAGGCGGCGGAGACTGAAAATGGATAGTAAAGGCAACGATCCTTCTTGAGGCACCCTTCGTAGGGAACACGCATTGAAACACCGATATGGCAGTGTAACCGATTTCAACTTGGACTTCCCTAGTCAAACGACCAGCTTGGCACTGTGCGCTCCGTCTTGACTCGCAAACAGGGCCTTTACATGGAGCCATGTGAAAACTTTGACTTTTCGATAGACTGTACCAACAATTCAATGTTGTCGGTTGCTCATGATATAAGCGTATATCACGGTCAACACCGGATTTCGCGGAGCAAGCCCCATGTTTTACTGTAATTTGGCATGTGTGCTGCCAAATTATCCCGTTCGCTACGGATGACATCGGCTTTCCTTTACCTCAACTCCCCATGGGTATGAATGACCATTGAGGGGGTGCCCCATTGAAGTTCATTGCCAAAGGGGTAAGGGCGCAACAAGGTTCTCAGCAGGGAACGAGAAATGGAATGACCCCTACAAACCATCCCCTATTGTTTAGGAAGTAAAGGAAACCCCTTCCGGTTCATTCCCAAACCCCGGTCTCGGTCATTCCCGACCTACTGTGGATGGACGAAATCCTGCACCATCAGATTGAAACCATGAGAATCCATTGTTGGTTGGTTGGTATTTGCAGGAGAATCATCATTCCAGGGTTTTTAGGTGGTGCAGGATTGCGTCCATCCACAGCATCGCACCAGCAAGCCTTTCGCCCCCCTCTCCCCATCTCCCAAAAGCCGCCCACGAGCAGCTAAGGAGCTTGAGACCCACAAACGGGGTCACCGTGAAGCGCCCGGTCTCGGCGAAGACGTCGTTGGGATTGCCTCGTGGTCACATTCGTCGCCCGGAGGGGGGGGACGGATTCGGCCGAACGGGGCACCAGAAGGGTTATTGTTTGAACGGCGGTGGCTTACGTGCGGGGGTTGATCAAAAGGTCCGTGATACATGGGATGACCATTGGGGAAAACCACGAGCATGATGATAGTTCCCACTAAATGGGAAAAGTGACCCATGGTCATTTGGGGGACGAAGGGAGTATTGATCAACCCCCCATGCATGAACAAGGGGTTGACCTTAGCAGCACACCAACTTGGAACTGATTAGACTTTCCGGAGAGAAAACTTGTTCAAACCAGGAACCCCGGTCAGTTCTTTGTCGGTGGGAGGGTACCGCATTTGAAGGGGAAATCCAAAGGAAACACCCCACTCCGATGCTGATTCAGAGCCGACTCGCAAGGGGAGTGATTCCACATTCGACTCCAAATTTGTTGCTGCTAAACGTGGCCAGAATACAATATCTCCAACCAACAACTGAAGGTCGAAGATCCAAATCTGTCTCAACCTTCGGCCAAAGAGCTCGGCTCCCTTTTTGGTTTGTCTAAGCCAAACCAAACAACCAACCAACCCAACCTAATTAACCAAGCAGCCAGTTAAATTCACCAACCAACCGACCAAAGCAAACCAAACCAAAGCAAAGCAAAGCAAAGCAAGCAAGCAAGCAACCCCCCACCCACCCACCCAACCCAGCCAACCCACCGGCATCCCAAAAACCAAAAATCATCCAAAAATAAAAGCACGGCGAACCCCGCCGCTTGTCCCGGCGCTCTTTACCCGGCGCGTTTCCGCCCGGGGTCCCACCTTTCCCGGCGGGGTTTTCCCGGGGGTCACTTTCCGCTCCCGGTCCCAGGGCAGCTTGGGTCCCAGGCCGCTGGGGCTGGAGGCCGCGCAAGACCCGAAGAAACAGCCCGGCACCACCCGCTGCGCCTCGAGCGCGGAGGATGGGCCAGAAGCAAACCCCCAGGGTCCGTTCGTTCCCAAAATTCCCCGACATGCGAATCGCAAGGAAGTAGGAAGGTTGAGACTGGGGATCCTTCTTTTGAAAGGGAAACCCATACAAAAACCCAAGAGACTGCTTTTTGGAAAAGAACGATGAACGCCTACAGGAGTGGCCAAAAATGTCTGGAACTTTTGGTGTATCAAAATGGTCCAAACCCAAAAGTGACAAATATGTCCAGCTCCGGGAGTGAGCGTCTCCTTTTGGTAAAGGCGTTGTTGTTGTTGTTTTTTTTTTTTAAGGGGGGGGAAATGTGTGAGAGGGGGAGGGGGATCCTTTTTTGGGGGGGAGAGGGGGGGGGGGCATTTCTTGGGGGAACCCATTTGTGTGTCTTGTTTTGCACTTGAAACTTGGTGAGTTACCAGCTTCAGAGCGTAAATTTCAAGCAGCGGATTGCCAGGAGTTTTGCTGTTTCGGTGCACCAAACACCCTCCCTGGCTCCCTCTCAAGGGCTCCCTATGAAACCAACTGATTGATCCCTAGGGTGTTCCAATACGGAATGTTTCTACCTTTCTAGGTGTTCCGCATTCTCAAAATGGGATCCCATTGATTTTGACCCACCGCCATATTTTTTGCGGCTTGCCCTATGGAGCTCGGGCCTTGCTCCTTGAGTCTTGCAAACCCTGATAATGAGGCTGGGCTCAGATCCCCCGCTAGAAGTGACTAACTCTTAGTGGGTTAAGTGGAAACCGCGCTAAACACCAAAAAGCTAAGCTAAGGGGATGGCTGGGAGCCACCAAGAGAACATTCTGGGGAAGAAACATGCAGAGTACTTGACGAGAACTCCTGGAACAGTCCGAAGGAGGGCTAGCAGTTAGCAGGATGCGCCAGGCCCCCTGTCTAAACTTGCTAAAACACCTCCAGCGTATGGTTTTCACAGCCGCCTTTTGGTTCCACTTTGATTGGCGCTGGGGTTTGGATGTTTTTTGACAAATGTCGCAGCAATGATTCCTTCTATATCCCCTTGAAACATCTACCTAGGGAGACTCAACTGAAATAAAACGGCATGTAGTTTAAACAAAGAAGAGAAAGGAGTTGCCCGGGTTCGTCTGAAAATAGGGGTACCCCCGAAATGGGGGGGGTTGCGTCCCTTGAGCCTACAAAAACCTTGAGAGGCCAATGTCCCCAGCGGGTGTAAAATACACACAAAACAATATTTTTTCAGAATGGGGAATTTGCATTTTCTAGCATTGTTGGAAAGGGTTCCAGCACTGCATCTGCTTCTTTCGCAGCCTGTTTGCATCTCCTGCTGCATCTGCTTCCTCAGCAGCCTGTTTGCATCTCCTCCGCCCTGTGTCCCGGCAATCGTCCTTTTCATCATGGCCTTGGAGGCAGAGGACCTGACTTTTGAGGACATGAAGGGTTTGGTGGAGGGCCTCCTTTGCCGGGCCTCCTTTGCCGACCCTGCGATGCAATTTGCACCGCTGACCCGGGGCAGCTTCATCATTGTCACCTTTCCAATGGGTGAGCTTGCGCCTTCTGACAACCCGGTTGCGCATTGCTTCGCCTCATCATGAACGACCAAGAAGACTTGAACTTGGTGGAGCTCGGGCGTTTGTACAAACAGGCCTGCGACCAATCAGACTTGCAGCTCCTCCTGAGCCTTTCGGCCTGCGGACCCGGCGCCCCTCCAACACTAGGCTGCGGTTCGTCATCATGAAATGCAACGACGGTTTCAAGGCCATCCTCGAGCACTTCACCTTCCCGGACAAGGTGAAGGCAAACATCTGCTTGAACAGCATGAATGCCTACAGCCATCGCTTCTGGGTGCAGGAATCCATCAACTTTTGGAACAACCACCTGCGCGAGATGCCCCAGATGATGGTCCGCCGCACCAACACCACAACTCGCAAGCGACCCGCTGCCGCGCAGAAGCGTCCTGCAGCCGCGCACAAGCGCCCTGCCTCGGCCAGCCAGAAGTGATGCTACATGCTCTCTGTAAATCCAAACGCCTGGGTAGCGTTGGGGAACCACACTGTCTCTAGTGTGCGATTATAAGGAGCATGGCGGCAGTCAATGTCTGGAGAAAGTTTTTGCGTGAGGAATTCGCCGGGTTGCTTGTTTAATGTAGAAAAACCAAAAAACCTCGAGGAAAACCAAAGAAACCAAACAGACAAAAGGTATTGGATATGCCCAAAACATTTCCCTCAGGACTTTGCTGGTTTTTTTGGGCTTTCCTCGAGGTTTGTTGGTTTTGTAGCTGGGAGGCCCTTTGGGACATTCTTGTGGGCTGTTAATTCGTGCTGCAAATGCTTTCTGCGATCTCTCAGCGTTTGGTAAGCGCGAAGACAATCAGGTAGTAAAACAAGTGTTGTAGAATGTCCAACGTTCCAGAAAACCCACCGCTCACGGCATTGGTTTCTGAAAACCTTTGGTGGCAGGCCTCAAAGACGAATGCATCTCAAAACATGACCTCTGGCTCCCGTCAAGCCAAGTGGCTGGCAACTTTTTAGGCACAACCCCCATGGATTTCGGAGAGTTCCTTTTTGGCTTCCCACACAAAAACCATCCAAAGGGTGGCTCGCAAAACCCGAGGAAGCCACTTTTGGAGGGCGTCCAAATCCTGAAAAAATGACACAAGATTGAGAGGGGTGTGTGCTCTGTTTGTCCTACCTACTACTAGGACGGGTTGTTTCTCAATCCGGGGACCCGCCCAAAGGACCTAGAAATAAAAGACGACCACCTTTTGGAACCTTGACAAAGTATGAACCAAATTTGGCAAACCAAACAAATCGCCCTGGGCAACTGAGCTGTTTGTGGGGTTTATACAATCACCACGGAATTTTTCACCCACCCTATTAACTCACTTCCGCCAAAAAAGGCCTGAACTTGTTGGTGGCCGTCCCAAACAGAACTCAGGAAGTGAGCTTCATAGGACGGGTTTTGTCGCCGGCGACCCACCCCCAAAGCCCCCAAAGCCCCCCGAGTAGCGTCGCCTTCCGCGAATCGGAGGCGAATCGCGGCCTCCATTTTCAAGCGCCGCGAGAGCCGCGAGGACTGGGTCTTCAGCCGCTGGGTGGTGCTGGGGGCGTCGGGAGACGCCACCAACCTCGGCCGGAAGCTTCTCGACGAGCCGTGGACCTTCACAGCGGCGTGCTGTTTTTTGGTTTAAGCAAAAAAGCAGATTTAAAAAAGCCGCTTTACCATCTTTACCCTTTTTAGGGTGCGTTTTTGGAGGTAAAACGAACAGGAAGACCACAATCTTCAGAGGTCCCCCTTGAAACATGGACATGGTACAGGGCTGCGAGTATCACAAAAGCAACGTTGCCACCTTCTGAAAAATACGTCCTGCTGAATTGTCCATGTCCTTTTTCAAACCAGGGGAACAACCGATCACGCAAACAGACAGTCACTTGATGGCTATTGCCCCGGTCCCTTTTGAACTGCTACAACCTGATAGCCTGATAGTTGCTTTTCTTTTTGCAGGGGTTGACATGGGCCAGGGCAAGGAAAACCTATCCGGAAAAAACCGCCGCGATCCAAGGGCTCAGATCGAAAGGGGGACTACTCACTTTGGTGCTCGCCGGCTTCTCAAAGCCAGGGTTTGAGTCAGGCAAACGCCCACCAGAAGATCGAGGTTGAATGCCGAAATACCAAGACCCTGCTAGATGACTTCAAATAGCGAGCTGACACCAACTCGGAGGTAGAACGAGCTTACCCACGAAACACGTCTCTAGCTTGAGATTTTCCGGTTTGTGAATAGTGCTGAGGATGGACAAACTCCAGCATTTTGTATCATCCATCCTGCAGGATTTTGTGCATCTTTACCCTCTCAATGCTGATTTAAAGGGTTCCCAAAAAAAATTTATTGAATGCTAATGGGTCAAGGGGCACTCTGGAAGACACCTGAAAAGGGAGTTCGGACTGTCTTGGGTTACAACCCCCTTGTTGTAAGAAAACCCAACGCGGCGGAAAACAAAGGGTAAACAAGCCCGAACCCACCCAACCTTGTAGCTAGCTCAGGGCATGCACGGGCGCGCCTTCAAAGAACTGACTCTAAGCCACATGAAAACCCCCGGATCAATAAATCCCTTGATGATCAAAAAGGGGGAGGGTGTTCGGGTTGAGGGCCTGGGAGGGGTTCTACTTAGATTCGGGGTCAACAATTCCCCTAAACTCCAACCCAAACCCCACCCCGAAACTACCCCCTCCTCCCCCCACCCCCCCCACAAACCCGCAGAACCTTGAAGAAAACCAAAACTCCCCCCCCCCCCCACCCCCCACCTCCCACCGCCCCCCCACAAACCGCAAAACCCCTGAAGGAAAGCCAAAAACGGACCCCAACCCCCCCCCCCCCCAAAAAAAAACACACCTAACCCCCCCCCCACCCACCCACCCACCCCACAAACCCTACCTCGAAGAAAACAAAACACCCCCCCACCCCCACCCTCCACCCCCCACCCCACCCCCCCCCCACAAACCCGCAAACCCCTGAAGGAAAACCAAAAACGGACCCAATCCCCCCCAAAAAAAATAATAGTAAAAAAAAGTTAATAATAATAATAATACTGATACTAATACTAATACTAATACTAATACTACTAGTACTACTACTACTACTACTACTACTACTACTACTACTACTACTACTACTACTTCTAATAATAATAATAATAAAATAATAATAATAATAATAATAATAATAATAATAATAATAATAGTAATAATAATACAATTAAAAATAATAATAGTAATAATAATAATAATATACATATGTATATATTATATTAATAAACACCCCTAACCCCCCCCCCCCCATAAACCCGCAACACCCCCGGAAGAAAAAACAACGAAAAAACAGAACCCCAGCGCTCTCCCGGGGCCCCTCGCTTGGCGGCATCCAGGTTCAGCGGCGGCACCGAGGGCCGCGAGGCTCTCGGCTCCAGCGAGCCTCTCACCCAGTCCGGTCCGGCCACACCAGCGGATGGGGGGGGGGGGAGGGGGGGAGGGCGGGGGAGAGGTGTACACTCCTGCCGTTTGGACGCCGCACCGCCTGTTGAAAACCACATAGTTGCGCGTTCTGATCCGTGTAGGATGGAATCTCCTTTTGGACAACTTGCTATCTGCTGCCCGTTTTCAGATCCCCTTGTAAAGGTCGCAAGAACAAATGGTGGGTTAAATGGAAATCCAACCACTAAACCCTAAACACCTAACAGCCTAAGGGGATGTGTCTTTTGGAGGATCTCCTTCTGGACAACGTGCTGAGCTGCCCGTTTTCAGATCCCCTTGTAAAGGTCGCAAGAACAAAAGGTGGGTTAAATGGAAATCCAACCACTAAACCCTAAACACCTAACAACCTAAGGGGATGTGTCTTTTGGAGGAATCTCCTTCTGGACAACGTGCTGAGCTGCCCGTTTTCAGATCCCCTTGTAAAGGTCGCAAGAACAAATGGTGGGTTAAATGGAAATCCAACCACTAAACCCTAAACACCTAACAACCTAAGGGGATGTGTCTTTTGGAGGATCTCCTTCTGGACAACGTGCTGAGCTGCCCGTTTTCAGATCCCCTTGTAAAGGTCGCAAGAACAAAAGGTGGGTTAAATGGAAATCCAACCACTAAACCCTAAACACCTAACAACCTAAGGGATGTGTCTTTTGGAGGAATCTCCTTCTGGACAACGTGCTGAGCTGCCCGTTTTCAGATCCCCTTGTAAAGGTCGCAAGAACAAAAGGTGGGTTAAATGGAAATCCAACCACTAAACCCTAAAGACCTAACAACCTAAGGGGACGTGTCTTTTGGAGGAATCTCCTTCTGGACAACGTGCTGAGCTGCCCGTTTTCAGATCCCCTTGTAAAGGTCGCAAGAACAAAAGGTGGGTTAAATGGAAATCCAACCACTAAACCCTAAACACCTAACAACCTAAGGGCATGTGTTTTTTGGAGGAATCTCATTCTGGACAACGTGCTGGGCTGCCCGTTTTCAGATCCCCTTGTAAAGGTCGCAAGAACAAATGGTGAGTTAAATCGAAATCCAACCACTAAACCCTAAAGACCTAACAACCTAAGGGGACGTGTCTTTTGGACGAATCTCCTTCTGGACAACGTGCTGGGCTGTCCGTTGTCAAATCTGCCAAAAGTCGCAAAACAAATGGTGGGTTAAATGGAAATCCAACCACTAAACCCTAAAGACCTAACCTAAGGGAATGGAGTGTCGCCTCAAGCTATAGGGGCCCAAACTCTCCCAAGGTTGCCCCCCCCCCCCCCCATGGTTGTTTACGTACTTTTTTTCGCGGGAGTTTGAGCCAGGCAAGAAAGGACAATGATTGGGGACTTGACAAGGCATTGATATCGCCTTTTCCACCTCTGGTTTCGACATGGGGAAGTCAAACAACCAAAAAGAAAGCAAACCCAGTCCCAAATGGAAACCCAATTGGAAGCTTGAGCAGAAGGAACGGAAATTGTTCCCGAGAAAAACACCACACCTTGCAAATGGAAATCATGTTCCTGACCCCAATGGAAGCCAAATGGAAACCCAGATCAAATGATGCTTCTGGTTATTAAGAGAAAGCGGAAAGGTAACCAGCCTTTCGGCGTGCGCCTCCTTTTGGCGAACCCCCCTTGTTTGGTTTGTTTACTTGGAAACCGAACGGAAAAAACAACTCAGAAAGCCAAGTGGGAACCCAAAGGGGAACCAAATGGAAACCAAATTGACACAAACGAACACATGGACACATTGCTTAAACCCACTAAGGCCGATCTGCCATGGACCTAACACTGATTCACATCCTGGCATTCACAGGGAGACCAGGGAAGGTCACGACATTGTCAAACCAGGACTTAAAATCACAAATTTGCGCTTGCATGTCCCCAAACAATTGAGTGAATCAAACACAAGCTGTGAATGCATGAACTCTCAGTGGCCGTGAGTGGCCCTTCATGGTGTGGACATGGAACAACTAACACTATGGAGAACAAACAAACGCGCCCTTGCCTGCTCTCTCCTGAGCCATTTGGCAAACGGGGCCGTCAACACTGAAAGGCCTGGAAGCAATGCTCAGACTTGACCAGTCCGCAACTTGCCGCCTGAATGTGTTTGGACTCCCTTTCAGCAATCCAATTTTTCCCATTAAAAAACTCGATAGACACACCCCGGCAACCATTGCAGCATGGAAGCTGGTTCAAGCGGAGACGGTTGAAGAACCAGATTCTGGTCTCCATCAAAAAAGCAAGCAAAAGGAGAGAATGGGTGCTTTAAACATGTTGGACCAGGAGGGCGGCTCGCTCAACCCTAGGATGGCGCCGCAAACTCAACGCCACAAACTCAAGCTTCAACTTAGCGGCAGCAGGGGTGCAGCGCTTTGGACGAAGAGCAACTTCCACCCACCCCACCCACCACCCACCACCCACACACCCCAATCCCCATCCCCAGTGGGCCCCCCGCCCACCCTAACCCCACCCCTCACGTGAAAGAACTCAATGGGGCAAGGTCCGATCCGACAACGTATTTTTGCTAAAGGCGTTTTGTGCATCAGCGCGCATACAAGCAGATAGAAGAACGTCAGCCTATGCCTATAATTCAAAGAAAATCTCGATCGAACACAACCAAAAAAGAAACTGCGGCGTCGCTGGCTTCAGGATCCCGTCTCCCAAAAGCTTGGGCTTGCAAAGCAGCTACGCTGTGTGGCAGGTTATGGCCTCTATGGCTTGGTTGTAGTCGGGCGCTTATGCAATGAACGCAAACAAATAAACGGGGGCCCTCCGACAAACCTGTTAAGAATTCGCATCTCATTCCACTGTAACCCACCTCAGCGTAGTGGCCTGTCTCAGTTATCAAGGCACAGGTGGCGTGCGAGAAACTCACCGTCTGACTGCGGGCGCACACATAAGACGTCTGGAAAGACTCGCGGACAATCGACCCCAAGTCACGATCTGCTGTGAGGCAAGCCTTGGCAACTGACCGGCAAGGTTTGATGTGCTTGGCCAGGGCATTCACCCGCTGAGGCAAAGCGCCCGTGCCGCAAGACAGCCAGGGGCCGAGGGCTCAAAATACCCCGGAAGGTAAATGCATCGACCACTGACTCCGCTATCGTTTTCCTTGCAAAGATGCCTGTATGGCACGTTTGAAGATCCAGCCCCAGGTTGACCGGTAAATTGCCGGCTCCGAATGGCCGTGCCGAGTGGTCTGCTGCGTATCATTTGTCGCCAAGGAAACGTCCCCACCCCACCCCAACCCCAACCCCACCAGTGTGCCTTGCATGGCCTGCATGGGCCACCGCAGCGGCGCGGCGAGATCTCAGCTTCGGCACGCAGCGCTGCTAAGGAGGCCACTTAGATGGGGGGGAAATTCAGCTCTTCAAGTTCAGTTTAAGGATGCTCGAATCCAGTCTCTGGCGGTTCATGCAAATGTCCAGCAGAAATGCATCTCCTGATTGACATCGAATTCTTGTAGCTTTCTGAACAAGTTGGACAACAACACAAGGGTAAAAACTCAAGAACAACAACACCCACATATGGCTCAAAATCAAAGAGCTAGTGCAACGCAGGTTTAAGTCTCTGGTTCCACTTACCAAGGTGCCAGTTTGCCGCATGAAACCCCTTATTTGAATGGGAGCCCATCTCCCGCAAATACGTGCGCGTGTGTCACACAAGATGATATGCTTTGGGCTTCCCTTTGCCACCATCCTCAATGAATCGACAAACATGCGACTCCTTCCCCACGAGGACATGCAGGCAACTATCAAAAGGCGTTCCTTGTTTTTCCGAGTTTGTCGCCATACCATACCGGCGGGGGTGTCGGATTTCAGGGAATGAGAAACGGAATGAATCCCCAAAAAAATGACCCGTAGGTTCAGAGGATCCAACAGGAAGCTGTTGCTTACCAAATTGGCTCAAAGGTTGAAAACCCGCAGGGGGAAAAAGAAGGGGAACTCTGCAAAACCCCACCCCACCCAAAAAAAATCGAGGCATCCTTTGGGCCGCGGTGTTGGTCCATGGGCAGTTTTCAGCGCGGGCACCCGGTCTCCCCAAAACCCGGGGCCCCAACCTCGCATGGAGTGCCAGGGCTCGGTGTCGGACACGGACCGCGGCAAACTGGGGCCCGCAGGGCCCGCGAGTGCCGTGTGTGTGTCTCTTTGACTTGGTTGCTGTTGACCCCCCTGCAAAAAGTTTGACTTTTTGAGGGTTTAGTGGAAAACACCTTTATTTCCAAAAAGTTAAAGTCTAAAGATCCAACCCAATAGCAGTCTTGGCCCCGTGTCTTTCCGAAAAAGGTTACAACCTCACTGTGGGCGAAATCCGTTCGCACCACGAAATGAAACCATGGTCCAAGGTTGAAACCATTGTTGGTTGGTATTTACAGGGGAGTCATCATTGCAGGGTTTCTTAGACAGTCCGAAATGGATTTTGTCCATCCACAGTAGCGATTCCCGTCTTTGCCAATCACGGGACATGGTTCCCGAAAGCAAAGGCCCAAAACAGGGATCCTTACATGAAAACACCTGAACATTGCCTTGTAAATGGCGGTTTCCCTTTGTCTTGGTGGAAAAGGCCATGTTTCACATGGTTGCAAAATGAGTTTCTTTTAAGGAGCCCTGCAAAATGCTGGAGTTTCTCCCACCTCGGATCACTAAAGTCTCCTTCGACCTTGAAAATGGCGTGTGCACGCAGATCTTAGGGCAATGACCCCATTGTCAGTGGTCAGAAGGAGACTCCAGCAGAATGAGCTGCAATGACCTCCAACTGAACCAACAAATTCGTGAGTTTTTTGGGAACGCCAAACTCCGAAATCGAGTCCCACCAGCAGGTGCTTGCCGACTCGTCCAGCGCTGCTAAGCTCAGCCCAAAACACCCTTTCCTTTCGAAGACCCTTTTTGGGGAGCTCAAAACGTGCCAAGAGGAGCTGCGCCAAATGTGAGGCAATCCGTATACTTCATAGGGCGGGGTGTTCCCTCGGCCTAAATGCAGGGGGAAGTGGCCACAAAATCAGCCTGCGGCACTTTCGGCATCCCCTTCTTCTCTTGGGGTGGTTTGGGGCAGTGGAAACTCTCTTGGGACCACACCAAGAACGAATGCACGAGCTTCAGACACCTGATCTATTTTGCGGATCCAGAAAAGAATGACAAAGGGGCATTGAATGCGACTTTGGCACCTATGTCTCCTGCGCAGAGCTTGCTGTTTGACGCCACAACTTCCAAACCCGACCGGTAAAATCCGCTCCGCAACTTCGATGTCCACAGATCCATGGGGTGCGCCTCACCCTCAACCTCGCACTTGCAGGAAATCGACGTGGAGGTGTCTCAAAACCCACCCCCCTCCCCTCCCCTCCCTCCCCCCTCCCAAAAAAAACCGAAGAAAAACTCGAAAAGAAGACCCCGAAAAACACACACGGACCCACGGACACAAGCCCACAGAGCGCAAACCGCGAGCCCTGGCGGCCCTGCCCAAAAGTTGATCTCCCACTTGGCCATGGGTCACAACCCCAAAACCCCCAGTGAACATCCCAATCCAGCCACTAACATAGGTTCCAAAAACCTCCTAAAGCTCATGGTTTTCTTTGCACATAGGAATTGTTCAATTCTCGGCCATCGGATTTTTGCCGTTCTTGTTCCCCTACCCATGGGATCCCAAAGCGGTTTTGACAACAGCCACTTGGTCCAGATCAAGGCCGCCCCCCCGCCTCGCTGCGGTGCGCCCGGAGGACGGCTCGCCTCGCGATCCGTGCACATCATCCTGCTGTTTTCTTTGCGAAATGAGAAGGGCTGCCCGTTTTCAGATCCCCTGCTAAAAGTGAATCACTTTTGGGTGAAGTTTGGAGACCACCACTAAACACTAAAAGGATCCAAAAAGCTAAGGAAGCGGATGGCTAGCCACCAAGAACTGACATGGGCTGGTCGGTTTCCGTTTGGCTCCCCTTCAAAACCCTCCACAAGAAACATCAAGGCTCGGCGTTTTTGATTGTTTTTGGGGGGGTCCCGGGGCCCAAACCGAAGCGCGTCATTTGCGAATGGCTGACCCACCCCCGAACACCTTGCCAGAAGACTGCTTTAGAGGGCAGGCAGAGTCCAAGAACTTGGTGTCTTCTGGCTCTTTGCAGGTTGATCCACTTGTCACCAGGGATCCTTACACCAGGGATCCTTACACCAGGGATCCTTACACCCATATGGTTTCCACTATCCCAGACCACCCTACCCTTGATATACAGGGATCCTTACATTATACACCTGAGCATTGCCTTGTAAATGGTGGTGTCCCTTGATTTTCGTGGAAAGAGCCATGTTTCAAATTGGCAAAATGTATCTTTTAGGGAGCCCTGTTGTCCTTTCAGCTTCAAGGAAGGCTGAGAATTGTCAAACACCAACATGAGCAGTGCCCCAAGCTCATTCACTTGTGGTAATTTGCATAGCCCTTACAATGGCCACCATAAGACCGGGTAGAACCACCTACTCAAACGGCCAGTGGAGGGAAGTCTGAAGTGGACCATGTCGTGTTTGGAAGATGAAAATAAACCCACAGCAACTTCCACGAGGATGTTGGAAGGAGGGTAACAACCATCTCCATTTCCCCTTTTCCTCCGAAACTAACAGCGAAACAACTTGGGTCCACCCCCCATTTTCAAGTCAACCAGCGGTTGAAGAAACTACCTACTCCAAACCGCAACCTGGTTTTCGAGCGGGGCAGATACAAAGCTCCCTTTCTTGTTTGTTCAGACCCAGGCTGTTTCCAGCATGCTTCAAGACCATGTCAGCCCCCTAAAGGAATCCCATTCCTTGGCCCTCATCCGGGGGTACTCCAGAAATAAGATGGTCTGATACTCTTCTATTTTTTCAGTCCGTAGTAGATAACATTGTGTGAGAGACCCCCAAATTCAGGTATCCTTCTTCACTTGTTTGACGTTGGAAGGGGAGCAAACATTTAAATTTCAGCAGTTCAGTGGGGATGTCAACCACTAAACCACAATAAGCAAAAAGTCAATATATGTTTCCCAACAACAATCCTGGGGCCGCCCTATTTTGAGTTTCATGTCTGGGGCATTTTGGGACCTGAGTACTCAATCCCCTCACCCAGACGGCCTTTTGGGCCAGGGAGCCACAAAAACAGAAAATGTGAAGAGCAAAATGTAGAAAGATGGCAACCGTTTAACTAAGCACAAATGCAACATGTGTCCCAACAACCATGTTCAGGGGGTCGTCCCATTCTGAAGGGAAACGCCAACCCGTCTTCCCATGAACCGTTCGTTCTCTCCGATGCGAGGCGCTGCGGCTCATCTCCGGCACTGAGAGGGGGTGGTCCCCCTCCAGCAACCTAGCCACAAACAGATTGGACCTTTTTCCACGGCCAGATTCCTCTTAAAGGGGGGGGAGGAGGCGGGGGGGAGGAGGGGGTGGGAGGAGGAGGGGGGGGAAACTGATCGCATATTGTTGTGGCCATCTAAAGATCTAAAAACTATCCTTCGAACTCCACGTTTCCTCGGCTGGCAGGACCCCTCGGAAAGGGAAAAAGGCTGTCTGCGGGTCCAGGCGAAAAATATGTTTCCCCTGTTTCCGCCAAAAGTGTTTTAGTCCCAAGCTCCGACCAAAATAGTCATAAAGAGTCTGCAAACGTGAGACAGTCAAGGCCCTAAGACATATATGAGGTCTTGAAAACTGCTTCGGCTCACGAGCATCCAGCATCACATCTGCCGCCAACAAATCTAGTTCTAGTCATTAGTTTGTGACTATCTACAAGGAGCCTCTTTTGGGTAAATGGTCCGAAGTTTGCAAGGTCCCCTGCTTGGTCACAGGACAGTTTGTAAAGGTTAAAGTTGGGTGCCCCGTTCAATGGGCTCGAACAAATGGTTTCTAGAATGCTACGCTATTGTCTTTGGGATCAAGCGGGATCCCATTCAGTTAGAACCTGTTGAGGGTGACTGGAGCTATGAGGATTGGTTCCGCCCCAACCCTTCGATCGGAAGCTTAGAATCCTTCTTGGGATGTGGGGCGCCTAGGTGGTTTTTCCACCTGGTCTTGCTATATGGGCGGGCTGGCCCGGTCCCATACAGGCTAAGACCCAAAAAAATAATGTGTTCTGTCGTTTTTCCCCAAAAGAACCAAACACGGCCAGGGGGAAGAGCGGGCCCTTTGGGGTTGTGTGGCTCGAGGTCAGTAAAGGACAATCCTGGCCCTCGGATCCGCTAAAAGTGACGAACTAACTCAGCGGGTCAAATGGAAACCACGAAACCCTAGAAACCCGTCAAAAAAAGTCTAAGGGGATGGGCAGCCACCAATCATGGAGCTCCTTTTCCCCCCGAATCCGTGAGCTCGTGAGTCTAGAAACCGGCCAGAAACCCAACCGAGACACCCCAAATTCTGCCAAGCAGCTCCTGCATGGACTCTGGAGAAGGCTCCTGGGCGACGTTTTTCCGAAGACGTGTGGAGGTGCTGAACTCGCTTGCCGTTACGGTGAGACGGTTCAAACGTCAATCCATAGTGAAACGCCACTACAACACTAGATGCGTGCCCCCGGTCCCAGTCGTCAATGGAGACCGGGCGGTCTCCAACCCACAGAATACTTGCCGCTACAAGCCTACCCTCGGGCAAGCAATGAATCCCCCATCGAAAAGGCATCTCCTCGGAACCGAGCTTCCCAAGGTGGTGCACCGCGACTCCGCAAACGCGCCAAGCACCTAAATAATGATACCATCGTGTGCGTGTGCTCCCTTATGTATGTATGTATGTATGTATGTATGTATGTATGTATGTATGTATGTATGTATGTATGTATGTACGTATGTACGTATGTACGTATGTACGTATGTACGTATGTACGTATGTATGTATGTATGTATGTATGTATGTATGTATGTATGTATGTATGTATGTATGTATGTATGTGTATGTATGTATGTATGTATGTATGTATGTATGTATGTATGTATGTATGTATGTATGTATGTATGTATGTATGTATGTATGTATGTATGTATGTATGTATGTATGTATGTATGTATGTATGTATGTATGTATGTATGTATGTATGTATGTATGTATGTATGTATGTATGTATGTATGTATGTATGTATGTATGTATGTATGTATGTATGTATGTATGTATGTATGTATGTATGTAATGTATGTATGTATGTATGTATGTATGTATGTATGTATGTATGTATGTATGTATGTATGTATGTATGTATGTATGTATGTATGTATGTATGTATGTATGTATGTACTGGGATGGTCTTAACATAGTCGAACAAGTCGAAGGTATTTTTTTGTTTTCTAGGCAAACGAGGGCTCTTCACTTTCGTCGTGGTGGTGAGAGACACTATTCAGAGCTGGAAGGGCGCTTCGTTCAGCGCTACTCCTTTTTTTGGTTGGGGATCTAAGTTGCAGAGACGCTGCTCCGGGGCAGCCCCGCAATCAAAGAAGCTCACCGTCCTTTCCCTTCACAGCTGCCCTGCCATCTGGAAGCCGCCCCTAGAAAAGGAAGAATTCCTGGCCCATCGAAATCCCTGTTATGACCATGTGTAAAAAAGTCAGCGCAATGTCAAAGAGACAAAGTCAGAATCGGAACCCTGCCTAACAGCCAAGGAACGCAGAGCGAAGCCTTCAAACCGACAAGCGCTGCGGCCTTCGTCGCCAAGACAGAGCTGCCGGCTAAACCTAGAGCCCGGAAAACACGTAGCCGAGCAACGCGCGCACTTTTTATTTTGCTTAATCATAAGACTTGAAGCCCCTCCCTTTCAAAGGACCTTGGAGAGCTCCCTGGACTGGTTTCTGCGCACACTCCAACGAAAGTTGTTTCAACGTGGAGCCGTGGGGTGTGACAACAGCAAGCTTGGCTGAACACTGAGGTGTAAACATACACGCACGCAACTCGACAGGGAACCGTTCCAAAAAAGAATTCTGCCTTTGGCAGGCAAGCAGTGTGCGCGAGACTGACTGGACATGGCGGTGGTACCTTTTAAACAAACTATTTGCCAATGAAAGCGAGGGCTTTCTCGAGTTGCCGGCTGTTCGCCAGCGCCTGTGACAGTCTAGATCTGGGTTAGAGCCCAGATTCTCGACATTGCGCCGGCGCCTGTGACTGTCGAGAGCCCAGATTCTCAACAGTCGCCGGCGCCTGTGACTGTCGAGAGCCGACGCCTGTGACTGTCGAGAACCCAGGTTATCCACAGTCGCCGGCGCCTGTGACTGTCGACAGCCCAAGTGAGGGGGGCTCTCGACAGTCGCCGGCGCCTGTGACTGTCGAGAGCCCCCTGACTTGAATAAATGCAAAATTCAAAGAAGCAAGGTGGTCTTAAGCAAATCTCTGTCGAGAGGGGGGGCCCAATAGGCCCTCAGCTCTCAACGATCGCCGGCGCCTGTGACTGTCGAGAGCCCCCCCCCGGAGAACAATGGGGCGTGGGCTTTGGACTGTTGAGAACCACCTCTGTTTCTTGAGGTGCAATCCTAAGAAAGTCGCAGAGGGGCTCTCGACGGTCGCCGGCGCCTGGGACTGCTGAGAAGGGAGGCCCGACGCGGCCCTCCCTTCTCGACGGTGATTTGCTTAAGACCGTTGCCGCGTTTGAATTTTCGAAGTTTTTTTTTTGGACGAGCTCTCTTCAACAACGGTTCCAAGCGCCGGCGACATCTAGCAACAAGCAAGAACCGCCTCTCAACCGTCCAGGCGCCGGCGAACTGTCGACAATCTGGGCTTTCTCACCGGCGTCGTTGAACTGTCGACAATCTGGGCTTTCTGACCGGCGTTGTTGAGCTGTCGAGCACCTATGCCCGCGACAATCACAGACAACGGCGAACTATCGAGAACCTGGGCTCTCGACAGCCACAGGCGCCTGTCGAGGATCTGGGCTCTCGACAGTCGCAGGCGCCGTCGGGAACCTACACTTTCAACAGTCACAGTCGCCACGACTCGAGAAAGCCCCGCGCTTTCATTGGCAGATAGTTTCTTTAAACAGTAACACTGCCACGTCCAGTCAGTCTCGCGCTCACTGCTTGCCTGGTCGAAATGTGGGTAGGGCCAGAGTGAGCTTCTTTGAGCCCCGGGCTGACCCAGAGCAGAATCTCGGAAACGGATCTCCAACCAAAAAGAGGTGCAGTGTTGAACGAAGCGTCCCCACGACGAAAGTAAAGATCCACCGCTTGACCAGTTTGCTGACGAACCATTCGAAATATGTTAAGAGTACCCCGGATTCCCCACAAGTGGGATATATTTTTGGTGCAACACTTTCAAACAAAACAGAAATTCGGATGACTATTTTGACTTCCTTAAGAGCGGCCCAGTGTATGTATGTATGTATGTATGTATGTATGTATGTATGTAGTGTATGTATGTATGTGTATGTATGTATGTATGTATGTGCATGTATGCATGCATGCATGCATGCATGCATGTATGTATGTATGTATGTATGTATGTATGTATGTATGTATGTATGTATGTATGTATGTATGTATGTATGTATGTATGTATGTATGTATGTATGTATGTATGTATGTATGTATGTATGTATGTATGTATGTATGTATGTATGTATGTATGTATGTATGTAATGTATGTATGTATGTATGTATGTATGTATGTATGTATGTATGTATGTATGTATGTATGTATGTATGTATGTATATATGTATGTATGTATGTATGTATAACACGATTCCAAGTTTGCTGCCAAATGTACACCCAGACCACAATCTTCAAAATATGGGCGCGCATTCTCCGAGTAAACCTTTGTTGGGCTGTTTTAACTAAAACCAGAAACAAGCCAATGGTTGGGGCTCCTCTTTGAGAAACACCCGAGCAAATCGACTCCAGAGCGCGCACCTCCTCCGGCCGTGGCGGAGTCCAATCCTGACGATCAAAGAAAGTGGTCGAAACAACCAAGCCCTCTTCCATGGGGGTTATCTCCATTTGGCTAGTCTATAGCTTCCATGGGTTTTTTCTCCATTTGCCTGGCCTAAAATAGGGTAACTCAAAATGAGTTACCCTGGTACAAACATGGACTAAAACTCTGCGGAGTACCCAATTCCTGGTGGCTGAATTTTGATCTCTTTCCCAAGTCGGAGCCCGTTGCCTCCCGAATCCTTTGGACTGTCTGGGTTCTTTGTCCGATCCCCGGCAACATGTGGGGGAGGGGGGACATCATTGCAGGCTCATATATTTATGCCATGTCTCTGAATCAACATTGGATAACTCCCCCTACTCAGTTGCCGAAGGATCCAGAAATAAAACATTCACCTTTTTCGGGCCCATGGCCCACATCATGGGCCAACAAGAGGGGGGAAGTAGAAGGCGAAAAGGTCGGCCTGGGGCAAGTATGAGCCTCTGAATACCCACCTTTGCCCCCCTTTTCGCTTGCGCTATACACTTGTCTAGGTCCTCCAGTAGAGAGGTTCGAATAAGGGTACCCTTCTTTTCAATTTTCTGTAGTCTATTCTCCTACCAAAAAAGAGTAAAAGGCCACTACTGGGGGACCTTTTTCTTGAAGAAAATTGTCGCCGACTTTCTTTTGGACTCCGCCGAACTTACCTGGATATGGTTTCCCGTAGACTGCAACCCTTTGGCCAGCGGTGAATCTGATAACGCACTTAAGTGGGCTTCAACTTATGGCATCCCTTTGGGTCTCTTGTTGAAGCTACCGAGGTTTTGCAGATGAGGATGAGCCGGAGATCGAGATCTTGTCAATGGAGCTGGGAAAGGAAAACCAAAAGGACCCTCACCCCCGCCATTCTGAAAGGAAGAAGAGACACACCCCTTTCTATCCAGTGATTTGCAGATGTGCTAAATAAGATAAACCTTTGTCATGCTAAAACGTGTCAGAAAAGGAGAAGGGAACCAACTCAAGCAGGTCATGGCCATCATAAGCGGTGACTTACCAGGGCCATCTAATTTTTCCCAAATGCCACCTATGAATGGGACAGTACTTGGATGTTCAAGGACATTCCTGACGTTCCACCTATGGTCGCTGCGAGCCCTGCGTCGAGCAACCAGAAAAAAGCGCGAAAGCGCCTGGTGCCGCGAGCGGGAGCTCGAGGCCGACCTGGCGGAGCTTGCAAAGGGGCCCGGAAAGAGCTTGTGATCACGAATTGCACATATATATATATATGTATGCTACCCCCCCCCCAAAACCCACCTTTTTGATCTGTGGGGGAATGAACAGAATCTGGAAAGGAAAGGATTCTTCTTGGAATAACATTAATTCCAGGAGATGCCTTGGAGAAAAGGCAAGAATAATAGCCATGAAGATTAAATTGCAATGACAAAGAGAGAGAGAGAGAGAGAGAGAGAGAGTGTGTGTGTGTACATAAGGATGAAAGTAATCAATTCTTAGTACCAACAATCTATTCTCCATTGAAGATAATTCTACAGAAGATAGCAATTATAGCTCCTAAAGAAAGAACACAATGAACATGTGCCACAACATAATATGTGTCATGTAATCTAGATCCACTGCAGGATTTCCTAGATTCCTAAGCCTTACAAGTTTAAACTAGTGAATGAAATAATATAATAAAACAAAAAGGAAGTCAGACAGATTGAGCTTGAGACCTGAAGAAGCCTACTTGGCAGATGTAGGTTTGCTAGATTAGACAAGCAGGAAAACCGAAGAAAAAAAAGAAGAAGAAAAACGAAAACCATACTCCTATGGGAGAATGTCTGCCACCTACCTTTCCCTCAGGGAGTATGGTTTTTCAGTTTTTGTTCCCCGGTTTTTTTCGTTTTCTTCGGTTTCCAGCTACCTTTCCCTCAGAGAGTCTGGTGTTGCGATTTTTCCTTTTTGAGGGTTTGCCAGAGCATGAAACGTCCAGAGTAATTGCCCTTGGAGCTTCCCTTTTTTGGCGTCTTTTTTTTTCAGACCCCCCAAAAAGGCCAAAATTCAGTGGAAATACCAGTACTTGAAGGTGATGAAGGCATAAAATAAGTGGATAATGGTGGAATCAATGTCTATCCTGTACCACCTCCAAATTCGGAGGTTAAAGAAAGGATTAAGACAAGATGTGAAAGTAAAATAATTATGATAGAAACAGTTACTGACTCTAGGATATACCACTTCTGGAGATCCTTGAAAGCTAGGTACAACATAACTTCGAAATCCTCCAAACAAGACAGGCACTACTGAAAAGAAGATCATAAGAAAGCAATGCAATGCAATGCTTATACTATAGAAGTTCTGATTTTATGGAGGTATACAATCCTGTCTATTTCCTGATGAATATAATTATATTCTTATAAGGATTGATACTAATTCCAAATAATAAATACTAGATTCCTAAGCCTTGATGATTACTTTTTAAGCCAGTGAATGAAATAATGTAATAAAACAGATTGAGCTTGAGACCTGAAGAAGCCTACTTGGCAGATGTGGTTTTGCTAGATGACAAGCAGGAAAACCGGGGGGGAACAAAACAACACTGAAAAACCGAAAAACACCGGGAAAAAAAACACATACTCCTGTGGGAGGATGTCTGCCAGCTACCTTTCCCTCAAAGAGTATGGTGTTTCTCTTTCTTTCTTTTTTTCGGTGCTTTCGGTTTCCAGCTACCTTTCCCTCAGAGAGTCTGGTTTGCCAGAGCTTGAAACGTCCAGAGTAATTGCCCTTGGAACTGCCCTTTTTTGACGTCTTTTTCAGACCCCCAAAAAAGGCTAAATTCCCTGGAAATACCAGTGAATTCTGCAAACAGGTGGTTGTTGTTGTTTTTTTTTTGGGGGGGGACCACATATATATATATATATATATATATACATTGACACACTTGTGTTTACAACTAACATAGATAACTATATATATATATGTACATATAAAATGTCTGTGTGTGAAAAGGGTTCCTTTTCAAGACCGTCCAACATCCAAGTTGCAACAGTCTGAAACTCGCTCGGTGTCCATCAAAAAGCATCCCGAAAGGTTTGAGTGTTGGTATGGGGGGGTTGCTCAAACGGTCCTTTACATGGAATGACCATTGGGGGCAACCCCTAAAACATGATACGTCCCACATGGGAAAACTTTGCGATGGTCATGTCGGGGGGGGCCCTAAATGGAATATTGATCAACCCCCATATCAAATTCGGTTTGCCCCTTTTGGGGGGCTGGTTGAAAGAGAAAGCGAAGGGAAGTCAATGCAGTGCCCTGCGCAAGCCCAGCAAAGCCCGATTTCCGGAGCCCATGTGAATTGCCGAACCTCGGATTTTGGGGCCGACCCGGGCAAAACCTTCGACCAAAGTTGTTCTTGCCCATGTGAAACCGGCGGTTGGGGAAGTCACCAAAAACTCTTCGTGTCACCAAAGGGAAGACACGACCAAGAACACCCTAGCTAGGTTCTGCAGTAGAGAGGCTAGAATAAGGGTACCTTTTTTTCTGTAGTCTATTTTAGTAGGGGAACACTCCCCAAAAAAAGGGTAAAAGGGCACTGGGGGACCTAGCTAGTTTCAGAAAGAGTCTTAGTTGCTTAGGGACTCTTTGGTGCTCGCCATTTAGATGCGGACTGATGTTCACCATTTTCATGTTTGAGAGTCACCCTCAAAACTACCTTTTGGCATACTTGTCAACTTCGCTTCCTGTTCTTGTGGCTTTCCAGGCTATATCTATGTATTGAGGAAAGGGCATGTCTCCGAATGCGAGAACCTTCAAAATGGTTGGCTTCCCTTTGGTTTCCATTTAAACCACCTTCAAAAAATGAATTCAACACCTGAATGGCTCTCAGGAACTGGTTCAAGCACATAAATCTCCCAATTTGTCTGATGTCCATCACAGGGTCCAACCAACGAATCAACTCCGCGCGTCCCTTCTTGCTTCCCTACATCTGTCAATTGATCAACGCATCAACGATTTGGTGGATTTGGATTGGATGATGTAAACTAAACCCCAAAAAGGAAATTCCTGAAAGAAAAAGCCCTTCGCTCGCTTTCAGGCCGGCCACAGAAGCCCCTCCCGACTCTCAACCGATCGCAGGCTGGACGGCAGCTGGAGTCGGTTCCTCACCGACGGCGCTCCAAAAGCTTCGGCTTTTGGGTCTCCGGTTTCAGTGAGGTGCCCTGTTGGCTTGCGGATGCCCATGGGCTCAATTTGGGTGAATTATAAGATTTCAGCAACCTGAAATAAGGCGGTTTGGGGGGGCAATAGCCCCCACATAAACCGGTTCAATTTGGGGTGAATTCGGTCGTGTGAGGTCGCTATAATTCACCCAGAAGTTCAATGGGATCCTTTCCTTCTCCAATTTGTTTGCGGGGCCTTCCACGCTTGTCAGGTAGCAAAATCCTTGGGAACACCTCTCAAAGACACAGAGATTCGTTGATGGTTGGGTTTACTGGGCTGCCCTCAGATGCCCCGCTAAAAGTTTAACTTTTAGTGGGTTAAATTTAGAAATCCCCACTAACACTAAAAGGCGAAAAAGCTCAGGAACCGGATGGCTGGGAACCACCAAGATTTTGTTTCTTAAGCTTTTTTAGAGTTGCTTGCGCACGTCCCGCTTCCGGCCAGACCTCTCTGGTCTTTCCCACATGAAGTTTCCCGGCAGCCAAAGGCCTTTCGGTAAAAGACAGGAAAGCCAAAGGAAATTGATTTTTGGGGCCCCCCAAACCAAAGGATAGGTAAGTCAAATGCCCTTTTGCCAGTTTAGGCCCTGTCCCTGGGCATTTGAGTTTAGGGGGGCCGATTCCTATTTCGAACTCCAGACTCGCGCACCGCGAACAAACATCCAGACTCCGCGGCGTTCGGCGTTCGGGGCTGCAGCTGTAGCTACCAAAGGAGCCATACGCAAATCTGCTGATCATGGTCATGGTTCCCCAAGATGCGATGGACAATGGTTGCCTAAATGGGAGTGTCCTTTTTGAGGGGATCCACTAGAAAGGCTTGTTTCCTTTGGTTTCCCTTCAAAACCACCAAAAAAGGGTACCCCCGAAAAAGATCGGCCAAAATCCCTTTCAATGCTTGTCTCAGCCGACCACCTCGACATTTCTAGGGGCCCAACTCACTTTCTTTGCGCAATTCTTTTGCCGACCTCAACGGAAAATGGTTGGCTGGTTGACTCAGGGGGACGCGGCACCCCGGAGTAAACGAGCTCGGAAGGCTTGCATCGAACTTTCAGGCAATGTGCGTAGGATCCCAAAGGAACCCATTTGTGATGGAGCACATTTGGAGATCTCAAAAGAGGGGAACCCCTGTGGATGGATTTCCTTTTGGCGGGGGGTCCTTTTGAGACGAACCCATTTAATATGAGTGCGCTAACAACAGTAGAATGGGGCTGCTTTACTACATCCAAATTGGAACCGCCTAGGTTTACGTCTACCCAAGGTACTCAAAACGTGGAAACCCTAGTAATGCTGACCCCCCAATTAATCAACCCCAGTCTATTCAGAAGGGGGGTGTACCTGACTTTAATTGGGGTATCAGCCCACTTTTGGAGGGGCCAAAACCACCCCCATGAATCAATTGGAACTGGTTGATTCAGCTGGGGGTCATTTTGTTTAACCCCCTAAATTTACGTCTCAAGGTAGTCAAAACATGGAACCCTGATTTTATTTTGTTTTTTGCGGGCCTCGGGTCCCCCCGAAATGGACACCCCACCTTCTTTGGCAGCCCCGCATGCGCCCGGTGGCGGCAAGGACCTCCTCCCGCTGACACCTGGCGATACGTGTGTCCGCCAACAACATGGCTCCCTGTTACCACTTGTAGCCATACTCAACTAGCGCGTCAAAGAACTGACCCCGGTTGTTTTCATGGGCCAAAGAGAACGCCGCTCCCCGCATTTGCGGAGGGGGGCCCCCCACGATGAGACACGCAGCCGCATGGTGCTCTGGTGAGCACTTAGTTTCCCTTGATTTACTATACAGAGATGCTGGGATGCTCAGCCGGAGTCGCAATTGCTTCCAACTGGCCCCCGGTTCTCTTTTTTCGGGGACAAAGGAAGTGGGGGTCCAACAAGAGGTTTACAACCTGCAAATTGACGAACCCCAAAGGGGGTAATGCAAATGGGTTCCATGTTAATCTGCCGGTCTGTCTTTTGGAGGAAGCCCGCAGCCATTTGGCCACGGGTCAAATCCCGTACCCCCAGTGAACCTCCCAATCCCCACTAAAATAGACAACTATGGGTGGTGCACCTACCCCAAAATGGGATCCCATTGGTTTTGACCCGCATTCAAATGAGTGTGGCTCAAAAATAGGGGTCCAAAATGGAACCCTGGTAAATGTAAAGGTAGACTAAAACCTGCGTAACCCCAGCTGTTTAATTTTCACCCACAGCCAAATCTTGCAACCACGGGTGTGTCTCCAAGTGTGCGAAGCCGCTGCAAAGTCGGGAACTGCACCGGGATGGCACCCAAACATAAGGCATTGCCCACGTGAGCTTTAAACAACACTCCTGATTTGCGGGAATCATTGACATGACGGTCATTTAGGATCCTTACTATCAGGTGGATGACCATCCCTCTTGTTAACCTCAAGTAAAGGGAGCGGACTTGACCATGGCACACATGGTATTCGGGGAATGGCTCAAATCTGCGAATCACCAGAAAGGGACACCAAAGCTGAAAGCCTACCATTCGTTCTAGGGAGAAACCACAAAAGGAAAACCTGAAGCAAACCAAGAAAACCCAAAAAATAACCAGAAACAACCCAAAGGGAAACCAAACAAAGGAAAACCTGAAACAACGCCAAAGGAAAGCCAAAGAGAAAAACAACGAAAAACCGGAAGCACTACCAAAGAAACATCAGAAACACGCCAAGGAAAACTAGAAACAACACCTAACGAAATCCAAGACAAGACCAAAGGAACACCAAAAACACCAAAAGGAACACCAAAAAAGACTAATCGAAACACTAACAACACCAAAAGAAAATCATACAAAAAACACCAATGGAAACAAAAACAAGACCAAAGAAAAACCAAAAACAATGCCAAAGGAAAACCAAAAACAAAACCATTGGAAAACCAGAAACACAACCAAAGCAAAAACAGAAACACACCCGAAGGAAAACCGAGAACAAAACCAAAGGAAATACAAAAACACCTCCAAAGGCAAACTAAAACCAACAGCAACACCCAAGGGAAACCCAAAACACACCACAGGAAAACCCAAAAAAAGACCGGAGGGAAACAAAAACACATCACACAACCAAAACAACCGAACGAAAACAAAAACAACACCAAAGGAAAACCAACAACAACAAACACAAAAACCAAAAACAGCACTAAACAACCAAAGGAACACCAAACACAATACCAAACCAAACCAAACCAAAAGCAACGGAAAATGGGAAAACCAAAAACAATACCACAGGGAGACCAAACACACAAAAAAACACAACACTACAGGAAGACCACAACAACTCCAACGGAATACCAAGATAACACGAAACGAATGCCAAAAACAGATAAGGAAAAGTAAAAACCAACTCCAAGAAGACCAAGAAAAACAACAGACGACAAACTGCAGAGAAAAGCCAAAAACAACACCAAAAAACGACCAAGCAAAGCACCACAGGAAAACCAAACAATCAACACCAAAGGAAACAAAAAGCAGCAACAAAAGAACACCAACACCGCCACCAAAGCACAGCCAAAAAAACATCGAAGGAACACGAAAGACAACACCACGTCAAAAACAAAAAACGTACCCAAAACAAAGCAAAAACAACGGAAAAAGGAAATCCAAAACCAACACCACGGGGAAGCCAAAACAACAAACAAAATCTACAAGAAAAAAACACTACCCGAAGAAAAACAACCAAAAAAAAACAGCAAGACCAAAACAGCTGCAAAGGAGTATCAAGAGAACGCCACTCGTTTCGGGGCTCCCCGCGTGAGCTGCTTCTGCACCTCCGCCAGGACGTCGAAGAGGCACAGCGCCGCATCCTCCGACTTCGCCGAAGCTTCGGCGCGCGGCACGGGGCGGGGGCCTTTGGGGCCGAAACGGTGGGTTTTCGTGGGTGTTCCGGGGTGGCTTCCCATGATTTCCGCGAAATCTTCAAAAAGTACAAGTCCACTGGCGTCAGCCAGAGGCTTGATTGCCCTTTCCAGCAACCCAAAGGTCCCATACAACCCGGGCTTCTTGCGGGTAAATGGGAAACCGAACCACCAAACCACCAAACCACCACACCACAGGGCTCCAAACCGCGGATTCGGCTCCAAACCGATTCCCCGCGGCCGTCCCATTCTTTGGGGGTGTTCCCTCCAAAAGTGGTCTGACTCCAACCACTAAAAGGGGACACCCCCCCGATGAAAATCGACCAGGGGTTTAGTCATCCCGGGTTAACAGTAGATGTCTGTCAAAACCTCGTGCGGTCTTAGACTACCCTGCCCTCCCACCAAGCACGTCCTATTGCAGAGGCCCCTTTGCCAGAAGCTGCCTTCAAGAAACATGTGCGCCAAGCCAGGGTGGTTTTCATGGACATGGTTAACATTACGAGAACCTCCGGCAATGTTGGGTCCGTGTGCAGCAGCTGCTCGCTGAGCTTGGAGGACAGCGTGGTGAGCAGGGCCAGCGCCTGAAGGCAGCGCCTTTTGGGGCGCCGAACGGGCGCCTCATCTTTTGGCAAACCGCCAGGTTAGGGTCTCGTGATGGGTAGAGGGGTGTGGGTCAAAATTAAACCACTAGGAATTGGACCGCAGGGTTTAGTCCATGTTTTCATTTACCTGGATTCCATTTTGGGCACCCTTTTTTTTGACCCACAGCCATATATGCGTAAAACCAGGGAGGCCCGAAAACGGTGGTTTCCCTTTTGAGCTGCGAAACGTACTCTCGTTGGTGCTCTATAAAGGGGAACACCAGGAAACCCTTGGGCATTTGGTTTTTTTTGTTGGCCCCCCCCCCCCCGTATTTTCAGACAAAGTCAGGTAGAAGAACACAAAGAAAACCTGGTAGATGTGGGTAAGTAAACTTGGTTGACGTTGGAAGGGGAGCAACAATTTAAATTTTAGCAGTTAAGTGGGGATTTCCTACTAAACCACAATAAGCAAAAATGGAAAATGTGCGCCAACAACAACCATGCTTTATACATGCTTGGAATTCCCTGGAACATGGGTGGACATAATCAAATCCCCCCTATGATGCTCTGCAAACCTCCATGTCCTGATAGTAAGTTCTGTGTGCCCAAAGTCCCCAGATGCTGACGGTCATTGCTTGGTTGCTGTTGACCCCCTGCAAAAAGTGGACCACTTTTTGGGGGGTTTAGTGGAAAACCCCTTGTTGAGAACCCCTTGATTTCAACCAAACAGTTAAAGTCTAAAGATCCAACTCCCAATAGCAGTTAAGAATGGGCTCAGTGATTTCAACCAAAAAGTGTTTTGGTCCTTTAGACCAACTCCCAATAGCAGTCAAGGCTTTGCTGGTTTCAGGTGGCCTGCGCCGCCTAAACCACCCAACCTCAAGCTGTGAAGCTACTCAACCCCCTCTGACCCCCTTTCACCCTCCGCAAAAACTTGGGGTCGAAATAAGCCCAAGGACCCCAACAGCATGGCCCCCGATTTGTCCCCGGAAACTTCGTTGGAACCCACCTGCGCGTCCCAAAAAAGATGAAGGAAGAATGAATGGTGTCGAATTTCCGCTTGGTGTCCCTTTTTTCCAACCGCAAACAGGGGACCCTGAAAAAACAAGCAAGCAAGCAAGCAAGCAAGCAAGCAAGCAAGAAAACAAGAAAACAAGCAAGCAAACAAGAAAACAAGAAAACAAGCAAGCAAGCAAGCAAGCAAGCAAGCAAGCACGCAAGCAAGCAAGCAAACAAGCACAAGTAGGTAAAGTAGGTAAAGTAGGCAAACAAGCGAACAAGCAAACAAACCAGCAGGCAAACAAGCAAGCAAGAAAGCAATCAAGCAAACAAACCAGCAAGTAAACAAGCACAAGTAGGTAAAGTAGGCAAACAAGCGAACAAGCAAACAAACCAGCAGGCAAACAAGCAAGCAACAAAGCAATCAAGCAAACAAACCAGCAAGTAAACAAGCAAATAAGCAAGGAAGCAGCACATGGCAAATCACTTTGCTTGGTTTGTGACAAGTCCCAAACCTGAAAAACAAAAGGCCCAAGTAAAGGACACTCGTCTATTTGCAAGCTAGGCAGAAACAACGGCTTCCCTCCTTTGGCTTGGGGCACCTTGACCGATCCCCTGGCAACACATGCGGTTTTCGGCCTCTTTGGCGAGGGGGTATGTAACTCGAGCTCACCATGATTTCAGGCTCTTTACTTTCGGGTCCAAGTCGTGTTTGTTTTAGGTCTTGGATTTATCTCAGTACCAACAAAACAGGAAAACCAAAGCCGCCCGAAAGCGCGCGCCCCTAAGAGGAAAAACCACCGCTCGATTCGTTTTGCCGAAGCCCGACCAGCAGGCAGGGATGCCAGTGCGCCGGATCCTCCAAGTAGGCCCGGAGCCTCGGCCGGGGGCACGGGGAAGCACATGCGGCCCGTGCGTGGGAAACGGCCTTTCTTGGGGGGTTCGTTTTTGCTCGTAGTGTGGCTACTAACAATGGTGTAGACCGACTTCTCAAGACCCTGGAACCAAAAAACACCTTGGTTGGAAACAAACGAAGAGGGGATTGTAGCGAAACAAGACTTCCGTTGGAAAGAAACGAAAAGGAAATTAGCGTACCGGCCGCATTTCCTTCACCGCTGTCAAGGGTCACCTGAGAGGTAGGCGAAAGGGAAACCAACGATTTTCAGTCAATCGCGAGAAAGTGTCCCAAGCTCCTTGTTAATTAGTTGTATTCCTCCCGCATCTTTCACCCAGAACAACCCGCCCCGAGAAACGGGGGCCGCCTGGGTCCCCGGCAGGCGCCATAAGTGAGGCACCACGTGCTCGTGGTGCAGGTCGCAGAGGTCGCTGAGGATGTCACAAAGGAGGACCTCCAGCACCCGAAACGCCCGCTTCGTCCAGCACCCGAGACGTCAAAGGGAAAACATCCGCCATGGTTATATAAACGTTTGGCCATGGGTCAAAATCCAAATCCCGTACCCCCAGTGAACATCCCAATCCCCACTAAAATAGACTAAAATGAATTATACCATTGGTTTTGACCCACAGCCATTTGCCCTCCCACCCTTTTCACATGGAACCTGGCGTTCGGCTGGCTTGGATCATTGTGCTTTTAAACGGACCCCCTGTCCGGTTCCACGCGCAAATTGGAAGGCTATTTTTCGTGCGGCGGCGAGTTTTCGGGGGGGATCTCCCGGTCTCCCCACATGGAAGCCGAATGGAGACTTTCATTGGTCTGGGACTTAACAAGATTACTCAGGCCACAGCCCACCAACAGAGGCTGGAGGCATGCGTGCCATATACCGGGTGCGTCCCAAGATAGGAATGATGTTCCGCTTTGTTGGTTCCCTTTAAAACCAGACTGATAGAATGGTACCATGACAATCCGACACCCGCATGGCTATATGCATTGAAATGAGGCGTTCGGGATGGCTCATGCAATTTGCAGTAAGTTGTGGTTTGAAGGGAAATCCTTTTGAGAACCTCAAAAGCAAGATCACTCTCTCCGCCCAATTGTCCTTTCGGGTTTCCTCCAGCAAACACTTTTCGCTTTTTGACACCGTCAAAGACATGCGCACCTCAGCTTTGCTCTTTTGGAACGTCTGAGGGCCCCTTCACGACACACGAGCCCATGTGTTTTAGTTGTTTAAGCTTTTTTTTCAGCCCTCAGTTGGTTTTTGGTGATTTGGATTGGAGGGAGCTGGATTTGGATTTGAAGCCCTGATTCTTGTAGGAAAAGGGAAACCACAAATCCAGGAACACCACCAAACCACCAAGCTCAGGAAGCTGAACCTCAGTTTTGCCCACCAAAAATGACATCTTCAGATTCTGGCCCATGAGCCAATCATTCCGAAACAGATCCCTATGTCCGGTATGCGTACAAAGACCCCAAAAACAGGGGTCCCTTAGGTTAACCTCAAAGGGGCCCCCAACAAATGAAGCCCAGGTATCCCCAACAGCTTCTGTATGGGAACCTACTGGGCAAAAATCCCACTGCCTCAGCTGGATTCCTTTCGGATGCTAAGCACATGGACCCTGTGCAAGAGGTCGGAACCGATTCCTTGAGAACCCAACCCCGGCCGGGTCACCTGAAGACACCCAGGTGGGTGTGTGTGTGTGGTATGTCAAAATTGGGCCGCCAAAATGGGTGTCCTGTTGGTGTCCCTTTAAACCAATCTGAAAAACCCTCAGTCAAACACGCGCCACGTTTCACTCATCGGCCCATATGACTGCCATTTGGTTGGCACAAGGAGAACCAAAAGGAAACCCAGCAAATTTGACCAAAGGAGTTCCCTCCAAAATTCCAAAGTTGTCTTACCACTCTCAAAGTCACACTCGTTCCTTTGGTGGGTTACAGAAAAGACCCGCCGATTCCAGCTTCCCACTTGCAGCCCGGTCGGGATGGTTGGACTGTCCTCAGATCCCCGAAAAGTTTTTCACTGGCTGTCCGGGTTTCCTCAACCACTAACCAAAAAGAACCGAACAGCTCTCCGAAACCGGAGGGCTGGGGAGCCATGTGGAACTCCAGAACTCGAAAGCCCGCCCCCCCCCCAAAAAAAAAAAAAAACATCCGCTTGTAAGTGACACCCGGTGGGGATGCTTGGTGTTTGGTGCTTCCCAAAAAAAAACGCCCTACCGGCTGCAACCTCCCCGCCTCGGCCTCGCCCAGCACGCTCAGGTGCCCCGCGTTTTGGCCGAAACCCGCCTGCCGCAGTTCGGGGTTTCGGGTTTCGGCGGGTGGACTGCGGATTTGGTTGCGGTTTGGGCGGATTGGGTTGGAGCCGAAAAGGATCTAGGGTGTGTGTTGAAAATGAAAGGGTCTGAGAATGGACCCTGTGAAGGAAATAGGGAAGAGAGAGCTTTGCTACTGGCAATGCAGTGAAGAAGTACAAAGAATCAGGCAGCACGCCGCGATTCGTGTGCCTCACAGTTGGGGAGAAGGAAGAAGTGAGTCGTAGTCAAAACCACGTGGGTGGGCCATGATAGGGATTTTCCTCAAAATGGTGGGTTCCTCTTAAACCGTCCCAAAACATACCCTCAACAACCACACACCCATGTAAAGCATGCCTCACCTAATTTTGGCTGGGACATTGCCATACTAAACTTCGAGTTTTGACTATGGCTCTTCAAAGGACGCCGAAATGGCAGTTTGCAGCTTCGCATTTCGAGAGTGACCGGTTCCCGTTATAGGTCCATGTCAATTTCGCTCTCAAGCCTGGCGCTATGATCCGAATCCTGGCCACTGACTTTCATCCCGCGGCGCTGGACAAGACAAATGCCCTTTCTTGGATCCTGCCCCAGCGCCTTTCAAAGGGAGGACTACCAAAAACGACTACCAAGAAACGGCCCCATTTTTTTGGCGGACCTCTATGGGTAAGATCGCTGTACCAAACACATCGCTGCTTCCAAACGCAAAATGCCGCGGCGGCGAGTCATCGAATGGCGATTGTCGGATTCCTGCCCGCCTCATTGCACCTGAGCGCCGGAAACTGGCTGCGCGTCGCTGCGGGGCCCTTTTGATACTCAGATGCCCAATGGCCAAGAGAAAAACAAAGGTCGCGAATTCATTTGGATGTTTTTTTTTCGTTTTCCGTCTTGGCTGGTAAGATGCTGTATTTTACAGCATTTTCACCTCCTTTCTGTTGGCAAGGACCTTTTTCCCGACGGGCAGCCAATCTTGCCTCCGAATAGGCCAGGGCCTGGCGCACGCTTTGCAGCCTTCTTTCCAAGCACGTGATTGCAAGCCGCAGACATGTCCATCAAAGGCGTAGCAGTCTGGCTCTTTCTCTTCTCCCGACGCGACTTGTTCAAGACATGGCTGTGGACGAAGCACCGTGCGCCCAAGCAGTTCTCACCGATGGGAAGACTTCAAGTTGATCCCTGCCTGCGGGGGCTGCGTGTCAAGGCTATGAAGAAGAACTTCCAGGATTGTCTATGATACAACCTCTTTACCAAAGTTGGGCACCTCACACGCTCATGTAACCTTTTTTTAGGAGGGTCTCTAAGAACCAGCGGTTCAAATCCAAATCCCCAAACCACCGATCCAAACCACCAACTTCGAGTTACCTGAACTTAGGATGGAGCTGATTTCTAGAAAGACTCTCCAACTTTGCAAAAGGAGACCTGGCCTTGGATGCTGAAAAAAAACAAGACCAAAAGGAAACTAACCACCGGTCCGCCGGTGGTCCGAATCTGTTGAGAAACACCCCACAAAGCACTCCTCGCAAGTCTGAGCACCCCCGGCGCTTCACCGGAGAGGGCCTACGCAATGCCCCGAGCGTCTTTTGTGCCGGTAGGGAAGTTGAACACCGAAAAAAACGCACACTTCTCACCCATGTTCTACCCGAACATGTGGTTTGAACACTGACAAACGCCTCCTTGAGCCCCCAAGCCCAGCACTTTGCCTTCGGGATCCGGCGGTATCGAATGTGCATGGGAAGTTTTGTGTCGACCATGGAAGCTGACGGGAGGCTTTGAGAAGACGCTGTTTGTTCCTTTTTCAGGGATCCTTAGATTATACACCTGAACATTGCCTCGTAAATGGTGGGTTCCCCTTATTTTGGTGGAAAAAGCCATGTTTCAAATGGGCAAAACGTATCTTTTACGGAGCCCTGTTTGGGGAAGCCCTTTCATGATTGTTAGAAGAGGGTAGATCCCCACGACATATTCCCCCTCCCCCCCTCCCTACTGTGGATGGACGAAATCCTGCACCACCTAAGGAACCCTGGAATGATGATTCCCCTGTAAATCCCAATCAACAAGGGTTTCCCATGGTTTCCAAGTGGTGCGAACGGATTTCGTAACCATCCACAGTATGGGCCCAGTGGTTCCTGAACTGTGTGAGCATCCGCGATGAAGCCACTAGCGGGCCGAAAAAAGTGATCCGGATCCCAGAACGAGAAAAAGGAACTCCCCACCCAGATCAGCCACTTGGGTGTGGCTCAAAATTTAAGAGCTAGCGTTGCGCAGGTTTTGGTCTTTGGTTCCACTTACCAGGGGGGCATTTTAGGTACCAATTTTTTGAGCCACAGCCCCTTGGTCAAAATTCAAGCCCCAAACCTCATGTTAGCAAAGGGTTTTGATGTAAGATGGTCCCAAACCTTCAGCAAAAGAAGGGGGACCTTGTCGACGGCTACTCGAGCTCGGCACCCAGTTCCGTGACAGTGGACCATGCGCCAAAATTGTGCGGCTCTGCGTGGCTTCATTCTAGGGGCCCGAGGCCCCAGGGGATGAAGTTTACTTGGGGGCACCACTCGGGGATAACCATTTGGTAAGGACGATTTTCAGGGTTCAACAGGCCATGTTTCCAGAGTTTGATACCAGGCAAAAGAACCTCAAGATCAGAAGTACTTCTGACTTGGGTTCAACAAATTTTGCCGCTCCCAAATGTCCCATTTCGCCTTGCTATGAAGCAGCTGCGGCAGCAACAGCGTGGTCCCCAGCCTCGAGCCGTTGCGCGGTTGCGCGGTCCATACCTCCCTCATTTTTCCGGGTCCCGCGACGGGGGGGGGGGGGAGGTCCCTCCAACTCCCCGGCCGCTCCACCGCTCCGAGCCGCTCGCTCCAACTCCGCCCGAGGTCGAAGCTCGAGGACCTCCGCGCTGCCCGGCTGCTTCTCGCTCTTCAACGCCCGCTGCAGCCTGCGGCGCTCCGGCGAGCGAACGGCGCTTCGGCGAGCGAAGGGTTGCGGCGGCGGCACGGATCGATGGCTTCCGGGGGCCAAAAGAAGTCCGCAGAAACCACAAAAGGCAAGTTGGTACCGTTTCTTTTTTCTGTAGTCTAATAGTCTAATTTAGTAGGGGAACCCTCCCAACCAAAAAAGTTGGTGAGAGAGGGCACCTAGCTGGGGGACCTGGTTGGGCTTCGGCGGCGGCCCGGATCGATTTTGGTCACTTTCGTGAGGCCTGCGGCAGGGAGGGGAGGGGGAGGGAGGTCAAATGAGCCCAGAAAAGCCTTTAAGGCCAGATCCGACCTCTTTCCTCCCTCCCCCCTCCTTCCCAGCCCCCATGACTCTTGCAAGCGTGCATTTCGGAGGCCTTCGTACTTGGGCACGGTTTTTTTTGTGTGTGTGTTTTTTTTTTGGGGGGGACCCTGTAGACATCAGTTAGGTGGGGGGTTTATGTCCAGCAACCACTTTCCAGGGGGGGGGGCTGATCTAAAGTCATGGTGGGGATTCGGTTGAGAAGCTGATCAACTGTCGTTCCGAGAAATCCCCTGCGTCCGTCCCAAAGGAAAAGCGGTACATTGCCAGAGGCAAAGGTCCAGAGAAAAGCCGGCACATTGCTAGAGAGGTGTTCAAGGGCCAAAAGAAGTCAGTCCACAGAAGCCACAAAATAAGGCAAACCAATACAAGGAAGTAGAACAATTCACATCCACATGGATTTGTCAAGGACCACGAGCATGGGGCCCACGCAATCTTGTTTGCTCTCCAAGAGTTTCCCAAGAAGGCAAGGGAAAACTAGGCGATCTCCCCATATCCTCCCCAAACTGCCGGCACCAAATGATATGGTCCTGGCCGGTATGGGGTCTGTCACACAATTGGGGGTCCAGGACATCAACAGGAAAGTGCACATTTCCGGGTTACTCACAGGGTAGAGGTGTTTTTTTTTTATTTCCCAGGGCTGGCTTGTTCCTAAGGCTGGGTTTTAAGACCACCTGACTTGTTGCGTTCCTTTCCTAAGATGGACGATCGGGCCTTTGGATCAATCGTATTTCTTTCTTTGGCTGAGGCCCAGCTTTCGTTCCCTGCCTCCAGCCTGTCAACTAAAGGACCGTGTGTGACTTTTTTGAAGGCTCCCTGTGGTCACCTTGCTGTCAGGGAAAACCCAACCAGCACCCCCCCAACTGCTTTTCCCCACGCCCACCCCAAGTACTGTCCGAGGGTGCGGGGTTGGGGGGGGGGCTGCAAAAGGGAATCCAACCATGGATTTCGGGAGCCCCTTCTTCGAGAAATGGGTTGGTCTCAAACAGGAATCAGACTCCAAACTCCAAAAATGGGCAGTTTCCTTTTGGCCTCCCCCACAATTGAACCACCCCACAAAGGCTACCCCCCAAAAAAGCACAAACGCAAATACCCCCTTCAGAGCCCTTCCCACGGTCCGTGCACTGGCCAAAAAGTCGCGCGACAAGCAGCGCCCAAAGCAGCCAGCCCTGCGGGTTTTCTGCTTGCCATTGTGCTGTTGGAGAAGATGTGTTTGGAATTGATCGCGATTTTTGTTGCCCGTTCCTCCCTTCACCGGAACCCTCCGGAAGAAAAACAAAACAAGAGCAAGCAGAATGCCAGACCTTTCGGCCCCAGAATGACCCCTCCCGTGTTTCTGTGCAGATGTGGTCTCTTTGGGATGGATAACAACCCTCCCAGCCAATCCAAACCTTTGGCGGGCACCATTCATAAGCTTCCCCTGATTGGTCTGGTGGCTTTTTGTCGGGCTGATGTCCCATTTGCCCTCTAAGCCACAAGGGTTGCCTGCAAACTCCACCGCGGAACTTGTGTTGTCTCCGCCAACCTTTGGTGACGAAGCGCCGCCCTTCGACAAAAACACAACTCTAGGGCTTGAGTCCCCACTCTTTTCATTTCAATAACCAGCCGTTTTCTCTGGGAGTCTGGATGTTTTCTAGAAAGATCCGGATCCCTGCAAAGAATGGAAATGGAAGGTACCCCTAGAAAAACCACAAACACCAGCGCCTCAGAAGCTTCTGCCGTCTGAGCCTGCGTCAGATCACCGCACCCTCCCGAGGAAAAATAAATAAATAAATAAATAAAAGTGGTTTCCTCCGGGATCTTGGTTCCATGTGAATCGTTTCTTGGCTGGAATTAGTTGACCCCAGCAACAACATAGCTTGTTGCCTGGTTAATGGAAAACAAAGGGAACCCCCCCCTCAAAAAAAAAAGGAACTAATTCTAGGGAAGGTTTGTTGGGGGACAGTCGGGGGTCGATTGATTCACAAGTTTACCAAGGCGCCCCGCGCAAAAGAACAAAAACCTGATTCATTTTGGGTTCTCCCAATCCCTCGGCCTTTGCTTTAGCGGCACGCCAATGGCTCCTAAACAAAAACTTGACAATTTGGCGCGGCAACTCGCAGCAAATACCCAAAGTTCAGCTGGTACCCTCTCACCAATTCACATGGAACCTGACAGGGGGGTCCTGGACCATTTTCCGTTTCAAGGGACCCCCTACCAGGTGAGGCTTGATCAAAAGGTCCGTGATACATGGGGTGACAGAGCAACCACCCAAAAGATCACTTTCACCACTCAATGAGAAAAGTCACCAGGAACATGCAGACCAGGTACATACTGGTGGTTCTTACGTTGGCATTGGGTGCGTAGAAACCTGTTGAAACAGCTAAGGAGGCTCTTACGTTGGCAACGAATGTCCCTGAAGTTGGAAAAACAGAAGCTGACGCAGACAAATCCCCACTACTCACCCAGTGGACATCCTTTGGAGCATATCCTTGATATCCCGAAAGCCAGTCTTGGGCCTTGGGGTGCTCAGATTTAGGGTCCGAATTTTGGGAAACACCTAAATATATA